GCACACATATATGTATGCATATATATATATATAAATTATTAACATTATATTTTTAATTATTTGAATCTATTTTTTTTTTAAGATATTGAAAACTCTTTCAAGACTATGTGTGTTTGTGTTGTATTTTCTTTGTTCATTAAATATATATATATAAATACATAAATGGCTCTAATTACCTTTAGAAGATTATGTCCAACTCTGAAAGGCAAATCGGAGTCATTTTTGATACCAGGTGCCACAACCCCAGTTCCATATCCATGCCAGGCCACAACAAAAGGATTATCAATAGTAATCCAAAATTTCACATCCGATCCAAATGTTTTAAAACAAAAATCTGCATATTCTCTAAATAGTTCCACCATAACCGAATTGCTCCAGCCTCCAAATAAGGTCTGCAAACTGTCTGGCAGGTCCCAATGATATAAAGTCACAACGGGCTGCACTTTAATTTCCTTCAATCCTCGAATTAGACTTTTATAATACTCCACACCTTTTTCGTTGTAGCTTTCTTTGGTGCCATTGGAGAAGATGCGCGGCCAGGACAGAGAAAAGCGGTAGTGACTGACTCCAAGTTGCTGCAGGGCTCGGAGGTCTCCCGGGATGTTGTGATAACTGTCACTGCCCACATCGCCTCTGGATATCCGGGTTCCACCGCGAGTGAAAGTATCCCAGATAGACTTACCCTTCCCGTCTTTCTCCCAGGCTCCTTCAACTGAATAGGCAGCGGTGCCTACAGCCCACATGAACTTGTCAGGGAAAGTGTCATAGAGGAAGGCTTTGTCACCGGGATATGGAAGTTTGCTAAATCTATCCCATGTGTGCAGCCCTGCGCCTGGAGCAGCTGCTGTCCACTGTAGATGACTGAACAATATGAACGCCAAAACAATCCACGTCACTTTCATGGTGTCAGAGAACTGGACAGCTTTCCAAATGTTAAACAAGTGAGTTGTGTCTCTTACCTCACTCTGAGCTGTTTGCAACTGTGATATAACCCACCTGGCCCCATCTGGGCCCGTTTTTTGTCCTCTCAGGAAATCTATCAATTATTACCCAGGCACTTGACGGGTAAATAGGTATCCAAGCGCTGCACAATTCCAGCCTGCATAATAACACATTTCTTCCTGCTAATGTATGATAGGGCAAATATGATTTTACAGTATAACAACAACAACAACAACAACAAAAACAAACAATTGATGATTTGTCCAGTGGCAACTGACCCTGCGCCTGGAGCAGCTGCTGTCCACTGTAGATGACTGAACAATATGAACGCCAAAACAATCCACGTCACTTTCATGGTGTCAGAGAACTGGACAGCTTTCCAAATGTTAAACAAGTGAGTTGTGTCTCTTACCTCACTCTGAGCTGTTTGCAACTGTGGTATAACCCACCTGGCCCCATCTGGGCCCGTTTTTTGTCCTCTCAGGAAATCTATCAATTATTACCCAGGCACTTGACGGGTAAATAGGTATCCAAGCGCTGCACAATTCCAGCCTGCATAATAACACATTTCTTCCTGCTAATGTATGATAGGGCAAATATGATTTTACAGTATAACAACAACAACAACAACAACAAAAACAAACAATTGATGATTTGTCCAGTGGCAACTGAATATGTTTTAAGACTGAAACCTATGAATGAACCACAAATTAGGAAAGGAAAGGAGGTGACTTGTGGCCAAGTAATTTCACCCATCCAGGTGCACAAACACAGCAGTGAGTAGTGAAACACACACACCGAGAACACACACCCAGAGCAGTGGGCAGCCAATGCTGCGGTGCCCAGGGAGCATTTGGGGGTTCGGTACCTCAGTCGTGGTATGGAGGGTGGAGAGAGCACTGGACATTCACTCACCCCACCTACAATCCCTGCCAGATCTGAGACTCGAACCCACTTTGGGTTACAAGCCCAACACTCTAACAATTAGGCCACGACTATAATCCAAATTGGTTATCCAATGACTTTCAATTTATGAATGAAATACATCTACAGTACATTACATTAATGTTAACAGTCCAGGCTTGTAAAATGTATTGAAAATAAATATAAAAATTATTTTAAAAATGCTTCATAGTCATTTTGAATTGGTCAGTCCAATTTTGCTTAGCATACCTTTGCACAGTTTAAACTGCATGCTGCATAAGTGCTACAAACAGGTGTATTTTTAACAGATAGACCTTGATTAAGTAATAAAATACAATTTTACAGTATAAGTGAACTTGCTTAAATATGGAGGAGTGGCATATTTCTAAAACGTTTCAGGCATTCCTCTGTATGTGGAGGTGGTGGTATTCCAAAGGTTGTTAATTCATGAACTGAAGAATAACTAATTGCTTAAGTTGGTCCAATGGGGCTGTTCCTAAAATGTAAAAGTTGCTTTGACCAAGACAGTGTCTGCTAAACGACTATTATTACTAACAGTGCTTGAAGACATCCCATTGTACAATACAGATAATAATGGATTTCTCTTTCTCATACTTTCTTTTAATTATAAAATTAAAAGTACCTAGACAAAGCAAAACAGGAAATGACCTCCTCATCATAAAAAACACACTTTATCCTGGTAATGCAACCTAGACTGAACAGCTTGAACTACAGTATAGTAAACCTAGAATTTAAGGCCTTTAGTAAACCTTTAGTTTAATTCTCTCTGTTTGCCATTCATAAACTGCATAACAGAGGCAAAGAGGCTTTTAAAATCCACCTTTTATTACTCTCCACTTATTTGAATGCCAAGCAACATACCCGACGAATTATTACTGCTATTCAAATCTCCACTAAGTAAAAGAGTCTGTAAAAGAAGAGACTATTCAGTAATCTGGTTGTCAATTAACATTCAATTAATCAAGGTTTATATATTGTAGATTTAATATAATATAATTAATGAAATAAAGAAAATGTCAGATTTCACTATTTTAATCACCTTATCTTTTGTTATATATTTATTAAAAATAAAATGCTTATAAATACATATATTTTCATAGTATATTAATTTATATAATACACGTTTTAATGAACTATTTTATAAACATTTACATTAATAATTCACCTTGTCCTTTGGTGGGATAAATAATTTATTATTAAATATTCCATGATGTCTCTCAGTTATTATATTACATTACAGTGATCATCTCTAAATAATTTCACTGTAATATTGTTATTTTAAAAATGCAATCAGGATTGACTTGTCTCGATTGCAGTTTCAACTGTAACACCAAATTTATATAAAAATGCAGAGATCGATCTTTACCTGATGCTAACGCGTCACGCCAGCACGTGATTAATGCTAATTCGGTCTCGCCAATTAAGGCGTGTTCTCGGGAAGAAAATAAATACTCGGCAGTGCCTCCGCTCATGACCACGTCACAATGGAGGAGTTTCTCATTGCACCTTACAACTGTGGAGGCTATCCTGGCTATTTCCCCGTTTATCCCGGCAACGGTAAATTTAAGCATCAGAACTGGAACAAAAAGGGAAACAGTTTTTATGTTGCGCCAGACGCCCCCGATTATTTCGACTTTTATAAGCGCGCGCAGTTAAAAGCGATATTATCTCAGGTGAACCCGAACCTAACGCCGCGCCTCCGCAAGGCCAACACTAGAGAGTTCGGTGTGCAGGTCAACCCAAAGGTAGATACCACTGTTCAATGCTCACTCGGGCCCAAAACGCTGTTTTATCGCAGTGATAAATGGGACTCACCAAGGACGCCGTCCATCAGTCCTCTGAAAGACACCCTGCCCAGCACACCTGTCAACTCCGTGCGCTTCTCCCGCACCGTCGCCATCTACTCTCCTGTCTTCGACCGCAGGATTTTCTCCTTATCCACGACTGCCGGTGAAAGCAAGGACGATGGAGGGGATGAGAGCAAGGAGACGAACGACGACGAGAAGTGTAAACCGGATGAACCGACGCACAACGAAACACTGCAGGGGAAGTCGGTGATCCAGCGAAATAAACGGTCAAACTTTCAGGTTTGTTGTGAGTAAATTACCATGGCAACCGTAATTTCCCCCTTTATTACGTTGGTTATTGTACTTTTATATTATGGTGAATTTTAGGTTGGCGATTTAAGCCCCGTTCACACCAAAGACGTGATAACAAAGATATAGTTCTAAAAATCGTTCTCAATATTAAAGATTAGCATAGTTCATACCACAACTATAACGATACAGAGGAACGATATCGGTGTGATCACTTTCAAAACGATTTTTTCCAGCTGATGAACGGTAAAACGCCGACAGCCAATCAGAATCCATCCTGCTGTAACGAGCTCAAGAATTTAAAGCGGCAGACGCGCGTGCGCTTAGAATAAACAGACGATATCGTTCGTTGGTGTGGACGCTAATATCGTTATCTTTATAGTTATCGTTCTTGGTGTGAACGGGGCTTAAGCCTAGCTAGTGCGGGCTTTTCACATGATTTCGAATAAAAGCTGATCTCATAAATATGCAAGTGATTGTTGACGCTCAATGCTGATTGGGTGAATTCAACTAATGACGATTACTAGACTTGTCTATGAATTTTATTTCGAAAATGTCATTTCTTTTTAAGGGTTTTATTTTTTTTAACTGCATGTAAATGGAATTGCGGCAGAAACTGCATTTCTTATGTAAATAAAGCTAACATAATTCTAACAATTTATTCTGGTTTAGTTTCTGGAGCAGAAATACGGATTTTATCACTGCAGTAAGTGCAATATTCGATGGGAAAGTGCGTTTGTGTGGTGCATCTCGGGAACCTCCAAGGTAAAATGCTTTTGACTTTCAAACTTCTGATCTTAAGCCTCGAACCTAATCAAATGGCATTTCCACAGGTGTACTTCAAGCAGCACTGCAGGAAGTGCCAGGCAGGACTGAATCCATATAGGGTGGAGTCCATTCAGTGCCAGGTATGAGTAGTCCAAGTGCATTTGAAGCTGTTTGTAAAACTTGACCATGTTCTGTTTCACCAGGTTTGCTGCAAGACTCGCTGCTGCTGTGAAAGGAAGCAGAGGCATGTTGACATGCGCAGTCCTCACCGCCAGGATCTGTGCGGCCGCTGCAAGGGCAAAGGCCTTTCCTGTGACACCATCTACAGTTTCAAGTACATAGTCTAATTGTTCAGGTCTATAAACGTTTTAGAATTGCATTGGTAGCTCAAGTGACATCTTGGGTGGGATGTATTGTATTTTTGTATTCCAATAAATTTATAAACCAAGTATTGCAGCATAATACTAGTGTCGGTGTGACTATTTCTGCTTTGTAATGGGGTAGTTCACCCAAAAATGAAAATGGTCACTTATTTCCATTTTAAAAAAAGAGCATTTTGTAAAGTGGTTCTAGTTAAACAGTTTTGGTTCCAATTGACTTCCCTTGTGTTTTCTGACCAGTAAACTGGAACTGACACTGGATAAGTTTTTTTTTTTTTTCTTTTTTTCTTTCTCCCTTCAAAATGACGTGTTTTTAGCAAGAGAAGTGCATGTTTGGAGTGTATATATATAAAAAAAATTCTCCCTTTTAAAGTGTACTATCCTTTTTAAAGGAACAAAATGAACCTTGTAGTTAACTTATTCCGTTCCAAACCTATATTTTTCTTACGTAGACAAGTGATAATCTGACGAAGGTCACTTTATTTATTTTTTTCCCCCATGCAGTTAGTCAATCCGAAACAACACTTGTTGACAAACGCATATCTTGCCTGATCATATTTTGCCCAAGATCAAGTGTGCATGAATAAAACCTAACGCTTTTACATAAACAACAAATGTATTTTCTGTAACTTGCATACAGTGCAAAATCACTCCTTTTCTTGGAGTCTGCAGATGCCAGAATAGCTATAAAAAAAAAAAACTAACGAACTGGAGAGTCTCAACAGGAAGAAAGCACAATTTACTTCACAAAAGCTTAAAGTATTTACACAGTTTTGGAGGGACCAATGACAATTTTCCCAAAGAGGCTTTACAGTGTGCAATCTCTCTAGGCATGCACTAGTGACAAACCCTAATCTCCATGTATCATTTATGAGATAACATGGAGATAACGAAGAAGACCACTTTCGCTAATATTCTGTCGAATAATTAATAATAATTAATTTATCATTTATGCTGTGCATTGATTTTCACTTGCATGTATCAGAAAATTATTACGGAGACAGATGAGGTTAATGAAATAATTTGCAACTTTACTCGCAAACTACATTTCCTGTTCATCAATAAGGTAAGAACCAGAGCCATTATAAACCTAAATATACTTGATTGAATTAAATTTGTTGAAAAGTGTAGTGTAGTAGTAGTAATAGAATATGTTTGCGGTCGTAATGATGACAGTAGCGCACACAAAATAGGATCTGTTCCGTGCTCCGGCTCGGTTAGCGCTCACACTGCATGCGTACCGCGCCCGAGCCCGAGCCCAACCGAACCGGGCCAGGGCCGGCTAAACGAACCGCGCCCGTTCAAAACGCCTAGTGTGAGTACACGCTGAGTGTTTTCAATCAACAAAAGTCAACCAGCTAGTGACTCATTTTATTCATGGGTTTCATGTGACGTCACAGTAGTGCGGCCGCCATTTGTAGGACCGAATTGCAATTCCGTCAGTCTGCTGTGCTGTGCTCTGGGCTGTGATAACAGCAAATCACAATGGATTATTTACTGGATTATTGGACGTATGGGATTCTTTTGATTAAATATTTCTCGTAAGCATAGATGCGTGTTTCCATTTTAGTATTTTAGTTAGCAAGTTCATAATGAAACTTGCAAAAGGTTCAATCCGCGTGCGTGACTGCTGATTTGCCAGAAAACTTTCGTTATGCTCCACCTAAAGCTACTAAATCAACGAGATGTTTTTGATCTTTGATTTAAGTACAGTTATGTGAGTCTAGAATGTTTACGCTGCACTAAACTTTGACGAAAAACACTCAGACCCGCAAACAAACAGATGAAGAATGATGACGGTCCAGCGCACACAAGGAGAAAGGTTTGTAGTTATAGTTTCCACATTCTTATTTTTATGAATGTAACTGAATGCAATTACTTCAAAGATGTTAGAGTGAAGAGGACCTGTTTGTACTATTACTATTATAATTCTGTAGAAGAACGTTATTTTAAAATAATCTCATTTAACTAAATAAGATAGTTGCAGTGATTCTTACGATGGCAATGTAACGTTACTGCTGCAACCAAATGTATATGCATCAATATGTCTGAGATCATATGCAGTAGCTGTGCCCTGCTTTTACGGTTACTAAATGTAAGCAGACATGTTCAGGTGCTCACCACTGCCAAAACACATGTAACTGACTACAACAAAACACAGAATCACAGTTTTGTTGCTACTTTAGTTGCTGCTTCACTTAGCATGTAGAAACATACAGGAATAACTGAATATTTATCTTAAATGTGCCACAAGGAGACAAACTGACCAACAGGAAGCTATGGATCTATTGAATGTGTATTTTTCAAGCATTTTATTGTGGCATTCACTGCTATTTTTCTGCACAGTGATAACTACTGAAAAGTGTTTCTACTAATTTACTTAAAAGTATAGTTAACCCAGAATTCTGTCATCATTTACATTATTACATCAATTCCCACTCTTTTTTTTTCAAACCCCTGACTTTTGTTTTTCTGCAGAACTCAAAAGAAGATACTTTGAAGAACGGCCGATTCCGGCTTGAATGCCGCAGTGTCGGCAAGTTACGGTTGTCGCATCTGGTCCGGTTGATTCGGCCCAGAATCTTAAAGTGAGTACGCAAGCATCCAGGCCGGGTACTGCAGATGGATCCGGTCCGATGGACAAGTCTCTTAACAGGTGAAAATTTAACTGAAAATGGCCCGAGAGTACGGAGAGGGATTGTGTATGAGGTAGATGTAAATAGCCAGCAAATGTCAGTTTTCCCTAGACTAGTCAGTTCGCTTGACAGTAATTAAGGATCTAATCCTAAAGTGTCTATTTTTTTTAATACCATTGTTTTCCGTTGTTGTTTAAGTGTTACTTTGGTTTCTGATCACCAAGGAGAGGCTACGCAAGGTCCTAAAGATGGCGGCTGCAACAAAAAAGTCACGTGACTGAAACCCATGAATAGTCAGCCAAACTAATTTATTTTTTGCTCAATTAGTAAATTGTTCCTTATGTTTTTTTTTTAAAGATGCACTACATGTTTTCTTAGGTTTTTCTGGCTGATACAACATTGGTATTGGACAGCTTTCAGCACAGACGCAGAACAACAGAAAATGTCTATGGTTACTATTTTAACTGTAGAGATGTCCAAACTGTCACCAAATTCACAAAATTTGTTTAGACCTCTTTCAGGCTAATTTAAATAATTCTCACATTTCATAAAATATTAAAATCAATTATAATTATAATTAAATAAACCAAAAAAGAGATCAGGTAATGGGTGTACTGTGTACCTCTGGCACAGAGCTGATGGTGTTCACTTGTCCAATGAGTTTGCAGTAGGACTGATACAGCAGAAGGAGCTGGAAGTGAAGTTTGTACAGTCGCTGACACAACTCCAATTGCTGTGGATGATACAGATACATTAGTCATATGACATAATAAAGGAATCATGCATACTCACAGCCACAAATATTAAATACACAACTCTAACATCCATCAATGAGTATGTCTATATGCATTAAACAATAAAAAATTAATCTCAGTATTTAATTTTTACTTCTGTAGTTTTAAGACCATTTACATGATCTTAAAAGTGTGGTTATTCAGCATAAGATTGTGTAAGATCATGCAAGTAAACACGCTCGCTTGCAGGTAAACTGAACTGAATGCATGTAGTGAACTATAAAGCTGCAAACACAGATCACTCGCTCTAACAGATGAATAAGAGAACGGTTTTTAGTTTTAAACTTACAGCCAGAGTTTCCATTTGCTGTAGAGCATGTCATAAAACAGGAAAGAGTTGAGAAGGGAGAAACAGAAACATTAATACCCAGCATGCAATCCGTGAGACTGTGCCACTTATGCTCAGAAATCCCATTCACATAATTAGAGGATTAGTGCCAGTTGCATTCAATCCAAGAACCCAAGCCATATAAATCATGCAGAGGATGATAAAGAGGCGCACAGAGTGACAAGAAGAAGAGGAGCGAGGAAGTATTACATGAAATATTGCATTGATAAATACACTAGTTCAAATGGTTGGGGTCAGCAGGAAATGAATAATTATATTCAGCAAAGATGCATTAAATTGATCAAAAGTGACAATAAAAACAAGTTTGAAAGGATTTTTATTTTAAATAAATGCTTTCCATTTTTTTCTGAAAAAAGTATTGCCATTTCCTAAAAAACATTAATTGACAGTATATTGACATATATCAATATATAAAATAAAATATTAAGCAGCACAACTGTTTTCAACATTGATAATAATAAATATTTCTTGCGCAGCAAATCAGCATATTGGAGTGATTTCTGAAGAATAATTTGACACTGAGTACTGGAGAAATGGCTGCTGAAAATTTGGCTTTGCCATCACAGGAATAAACTGCATATTAAAATATATATTTAAAAAACTGTTAAATTGTAATAATATTTCACAATATTACTATTTTTACTGTTTTTGATCAAATAAATGCAGCCTTGGTGAGCATAAGACACTTCTTTCAAAAATATAAAAAAATCTTTTGAATTGTAGTGTATATGACCCACTAAATAACATAATATGTACAGATTTAACAGGATCTATTGTGTACATATTATGAATGTTCATTTGTGTAAACAGAGCTCATTTTAAGGGCATATACAGCTATTTTCACCTTCTCCTCAGAGTCTCCAGGCTGACAGGTGATCACACCATCATCAGGATACCTTGGAAATGTGGCCTTACAGTTCTGCAACCACTGTTGAAAGAGAAGAGCAGATGATACGAGCATGATACCTCTTTCAGTGCAAGATGATTGAATGTTTTGCCTGTTTTACTCTCCATCCTGCGAGTCTGATCACTTAAAGAAGTATTGGCACACCTCTAGTAAGTCGCATGATTGGAGGTCTTAATTCTGTAGCAGCTCTACATAGCAGCTTCCACTGCTTCTGTATGAGAAGCTTAGCAGGCTAGAATGACTTACTGAAACGACAGCTTCCTCCCGGGTGTTATATGTGTCCAGATACTCCTGCAGCTCAAGAACACTGAACTTCATCTTCTCTAGAAGCCCATAAGAAACAATCTACAAGAGGCCAGACAAAACCTAGCATAAAAATACTTTCTGACTGCTTATTCATAACTATTATTTAGGTTAGGTCCCTGAGTCATGGCTTTATGTATCAACTTTGAATATCCACTTACCGTTTCTGCGTCTACATACAGCGTGGGACAGTCTGAGCATAAGGCCAACATCTCAGATGACTGCACAAATTTTGACCCAATTCCCCTCAGGCCGTCTCCGAGGTAACTGGCAGCATCACTGGTCAGGGAGCAGAACTTATTCTGGATGTTCTGTAGACAAAAATAAATTTAAACAATGCTAAAACCTACTTTTGGACCTCTAAATAGCTAATATGAATAGAAATTTTAAAAAAGGACTGTGTACATATAAAGGGTGACTTTACCTGAAACATTGTGGAGAAGATGTGGAAGGTGTAGACAGCGCAAGACCCATCTGTATCACACAACAGCTGGTTAATGTGACTCCGCCAGGCTTCTTCGGCATCGTCACACACCGTGGGCTGAAATGCTGCCAGGATGGCAGAGAAAAAGGGAGAGGGTGGAGGAGGAAAGCCCAGCTCATCCAGATCATCTCGGTCCTCCCCAAAATGGTAGCTATTGAAACCGGAAGAAAGGGGTTACCTTTCAATAACCATGCCAGTTAACAGTCTAATGATATAAAACTGTACTGATGTGTTCACCTGGGCAGGGAGTTTGGGTTCTGGTTGATTCCAGCTCGGTTTTGTTCTGCAGGAAGGTCCAGATTAGTGCTAGAGCCACAGTCAAACCTCATTGGCAGCTCATTCACACCGAATGGCAGGTCATCCTCTTGGACATATGACTCCTCGTCTTCTGGTAAAACCTATGAAGATAAGATCACTGGTGAGCTTCTTTCCTCAATGTGTTTGTTCTTATTGTTGCAGACTCCATACTAGAGGTCAACTCAAAAGATGAGAAATTCTTTACAGTAAAAGAGTTAAGAGAGACAGTCAAGTGGTCCTCAGTGTTGTCAGAAGTGACACGATGACTTTGCCAACTGGCGATTGGCTCTTTTATTGAGAAGGTGGGACATATTCCACCATATCACCATTATATTTTCTCTTATTCATAAGTAATAGGAGTGCAATGTATTTGTATAGTCTTTATTCAATATATACTCATTATAGCACATTAATGTATATGTAAAAATAATGTATCGCTATTCAATATTGTGTGACCCTAACTGAATGTGAGCTGTCACATTTGCAAATTTAAAGTAGTCACAAACATGCCAGTAATAGTCATAAACTGCATGATGAAGTAGATCTAGGTTCTATGTTTGGTTTTATTTGCACCCTTGCAGAATAAGTTTTAATGAGCTTAATGTCATTTTAAACATACGGGCGGCATGATGTGGTCATCTGGTAGTGATGTTCCCAAGCAAGGTGTAGCAGCATTAAGAGAATTTGGGTCAGCTGATGTGGTATCGTAAGAAGTGGACAGAGAGTCTGTATGATTGGTGTCCTCTGAGGGGGAGAGGTTCATGGTCTGAAATCAGAAAATGCCCAGTTTTAGAAAACTACTATCAAGCTAAAACAGATAGAACAGGTGGGTAGGTAGTTTGGCAGATAGACAGACAGACAGACAGATAGATAGAACATACCAGTTGAGAATGGGAGAGGCTTTGGCTGGTGGAATTGGACTCTTCCTCAGAGGAGTCATCTGAGTCCTGTTGGGGGTCGTGTAGGCCAATGCAGGGGGTGATGTCAGAGTGCTGGCTCTCCTCCAGGAGCTCAGTCAGATCTGTGCTGTCCAGAGAGCGCCGGCGCACTCCCCAGTTAAAGTTATCCATACTCTCACCCTATTAAAACAAACACACACAACTTATTTAACAGCTGTATCCTCTAGCATGAGTTGGGGAGGGTCTACTCCCAAGGGAATAGACATAACATACTTTTAATTAATCATGCAAAAATTAACAACACATGCAAACATATAATAAATACAATAGACCAATATCTGAAAATGTTTCTGACTTTGCAAAAAAAAAGTAAATTCCTAAATTCCTTTGTAGTCTAGGGGAAGCATAGCAAAACACAACACAAAAAGAAAGCTGCTAGATCCTAGACCTGTAAAAAGTATTTAAAACAATCTGAAATTAATTCTAATAGTAATCTAGCTGAAGTAGTGAGGAATAATTTACTGTGAAATAAAAATGCTGCAATGAGATGCTGCTAACATGCAGTTCTACAGTATGTAATATGACATCCATATATTAAACATAAAAAAACTAATCTCTTAAGCCACAGCAGCCTGACAGATGAGATCCTACACGAATGACACAGGTATGGAAACATGATCTCAGCCATCCTCTGCAACATGCTAACACAGCTGTTCTTACCTGCAGCTCCTACGGCAGCACATAAGAGAAAGAGAAAGAGTGTTAGCCACACCGTGAGAAAGACCAGAGGAAAAGAAATGGGCACATTAGTCAGGCAGTCTCTGATCAGCTAAAGTGTTATCTCATTATCCAGAGAGAACATGAATGAAATAACTGAAAGAATAAGGAAAGAAAGAAACCTGGGTTTTTGTTAGTAGGGACATGAATTTTTAATTTAATTCAATGATTCTAGCTTCAGTTCTGATTCCACTTAACAATTTGATTAAAAAAATAGTGGAACAAAATTTATTTACATGACATCCAATTACATTAACCAAAATAATTTTTAAAGGAAAAGGAAGGAATCAGTTCTTAGTTTGCAAATGTATTTGTTAGAGACAGCCTACAGAGATAGTCAAGTATTTAGAAATCAACATTTTAACAGTTCTTCAGTAGTATATATAAGATAGTTCAAAAGAACAGCATATATTTGAAATAGAAATCCTTATAAATGTTGTGACTGTCCCTTTTGATCATGTTAACGCATCCATGCTGAACAGAAGTATCAATTTCTTTACTGAATATAAAAATTCCAAATGTGTGTGAAACAAAAACAATCAGATTTTCTACTCGCCTCTCCATCTTCCAGCTCTACATCCAGGAAGTCAAAGTCCCTGAAGACTCTGAACTGCTGCTCTGATGTGGTATCATCCAGAGTGTCCTCCCGGGTCCCATCCTCAGAGGACACCTGACTGGGTTGATGCTCCATGAGGTCCAGATCTCCACAGGATGAGAAGATCACCTGAGACAAACAAACATGACAGTGGAGTCAGCATGGAGTCTGGGTATGCAAAGAAAGTATCATGCAACGGTCCAATTACTACAATGCCTTGTAAGACTTAGACTTGTCTTTTATTTGTTATGGCATTAGATGCACAGTAATTAGGGTTTTTATTAATATAATATAATCACAGATTTAATCTATTATTCCTGCAGTCTATGAGACCAAAGTGATAAGTGTCATATAAAGCAACAGTGACAGTGAGGCCTTACAGATGGATTCTTGGTGAGGCCAACTTCCTGTCCGCAGAGTGATAGAACATTCACTAGCTTCTCTCTTGTTCGCTTCTGTTAAACAAAAGGAAAATACCAGTTGAAAAGCAGACGTAATGTAATCAGGAACAAAGACGAAGCTAAAATACACAGTTTAAAGCAGCACAAGAGAATGAAATTAAGTTTCCCTCCTTTGTACCTTGACTAATATGAACAGCATGAAATGTTTGTCACCTGTGATGATTGTGGCCGTTTCCAGCTGACTGGCACCAGGACGGTGTTTGAATTGGACCCTGAAGAGGTAGAGGACGTGCTACGGGTCACTGCGATCGCGCGGCCTTTCCCATCTCTCCCTCCTGATCCCTGCAGGTCATCATATCTGCGGCCAATAACCGGCGTCTGGACACAAACACATACATGCACACAATACATATATAACTCATTTAAAAACATATTTTACAATATAGACTGAACATAGACACGTAAACCCCTACACAAATATGAGCACTCCAGCACAACAACAGGCTCTGAGTAGTTTGTAGACACTCATAGACTCACTCTACCCATGAGTCACAGCCTTCCTGTAGATAAACAAGCATGTGTGGAAAAACAGCCTAATTGCTGAACTCCTTTTCATTGTGCACATGCTACATCTGGACAGGATATCACTACTTTCATCAGGGTGGACCAGAGGCAAGGACTCAATTCTAGGAACTGAGGGTTTCCTGTAGTAGTGCATGCAGCCACAAGAGGGCAATCATACACAAAGTTGGCTGCAAGAAGGTCTTTGTTATACCTGGAGAAAGCAGCACTTCTGGTAGTTCCTGCACCAGCTGAATGCAAATGGATATCATTCTCATTAACTTTCAATCAAACTAAGATTGTTTTAGGTTTTACGTTCATTAACTTATGTCCGTGGCGTCACCCGTATGTTTCTGAAGAGCATTTTTGAAGCTCAAACTTGCACGGAGATGGCTGTTGCCATCTTGGCTGCGTGTCACTCCCAGATAATCGAAAATGTGCAAAAAGGCGGGACGTGGGTGGTGACAGCAGCGGCAATCCACCTGTCACTCAAGTGGCCATGCCCTTAATTATGCATAACTTTAAGGCTTAATATAATTTAAACGGATGAGTTATAAAAAAAATTCACCCCCGGTTGCATTTTAAGTCACTTCCGTGTTGGTTTCAAGAGGGAGACCGGAAAGTTGCTGCTTGATTCAAACATCACACAAAAAGTAGTCACTTTTTCTTAACTTGCTCTATAAGGACATCACATCCTTTTGTTTATTAGGTTGCAGTTAAAACCCTCAGAGAGGCAGGATCTCAACCACACTTTATTCAGAGCGGTTATTAATCACAAATGCAGTCAAAACACATCTCCCCAAACTTCCATTGACTATTATCCCCATCTCTCCATCTGAAAGCAAGCTAAGAACCTGAGCGCCTTCCCTTTGGTCTAAAATATACCAAAAACAAAGGAAAAGGGTTATCATGGGATCTGATAACCAATGCATGTTCAAAAACAACAACACGGCCACACCTGAAGAGGTGAATGAGTCAGAGAACCTGTGGTGTATAATCTAACTGAAAACTGATATTTTCAAAAGTATTAACGTTGTTTTTGCCTACAACAAAGACAAAAAAGCATTCATATGAACAATTGAACAACAAAATGTATTGTGTGCACTGTGTAAAGTACCTCAGATATGTCAAAATGGAATTCCAGTGTCTTTCCTGGCAGGGCTTTAGATGAGCCATCCCACATCATACGGCTAACCTCCAGGTGGGCTAAGTCACCATGGGCATAGGACGGCAGGGATAGGCTGGCAGAACGGGAAACAACCAGCTTCAAAATGTTCAGAGCTTCCTTCCAGTGAACCGTCTAGAGGACACACACATATTGGTATGAAAAATGAGACTGAAATTCTTACAAATGACCAGATGAATCCTAAATCAAGTGGCTCAACAGAAGGATTTCACCTGTACAAATTTCTCGATGGTCTTTAGCACCTCTACATTGAAAGGTTTGACCTGAATTCCTGCCAAATCCATGTGGCTCAGCAGACTGTAGATGATCTGCAGCAGGGGCTGTTGCATGCTGGGTAATCCTTTATCTAGCAACTATGAAGAGAGCTGATATTAAATGGGTGCTCTTCACATATTATATCAGCTGCAGCATATCTATAATTTTGTGGCTTATATTTGGACATTTAAGCTTTAGGACAGCTCACCTCAGCCATATATGTCACCAGACTGAGTGTGATGTCCAAAAAGGCCTCATGCAAGTAGCGGCAGACCACATTAACCCACGAGAAGGGGTCTCTGGTGTAAGAACGAGTCTTATATAGAGTCATTACATGAGCTAGGTGAGAAAGTTTAGTGTTCTTGTCTTTCTCCTCCAGACACACCTAGAAAGCACACCAGAAACAGTCATATTAACAGTCATAAATTACATATAGTAAGTATTTAAACCTTTGGGAACTCATTAGATAATTGTATACTTATATGGTGTAATATTAATTATTTATTGTGGTCAGTTGTGTCACTACAGTTAGATATGTGTGCTGCTACTACTGACCAGCATTTTGTTGATCTAAATAAGGCTGCAGAAATATGGACACTAGCTGAGATTTTATTGTAAATACATGCATGCTGAGAGTCAGCTGTCTTGTTAAATGCCTAATAAGTCTAGAAAAAAACACTTTTGAAGTTGTATATAATACAGGATTAGGTGTTGAGAACGAGTCAAGTTGGTCTTCACATTTAGGTGTAAATGTCAATGAAGTGCAGGGTGTGTTTCATAATAGGAGTGTGTAGAGAAAAGGAGGCTGGGCAGACCTGTGCGATCCTCTCAGCGCTTTCTTTACAAAACTGAGTAGGGCTACCGAAGTGTTGCACCAAGTGAGGCAGCAGACAAAGCACGTTCAGAGGAAAACCTGAGCAGGCAGAGAATAAAACATGAAAAGAAGTGAAAGGAAAGCAGCTAAATATCACAGACATTTCAAAGTAGAACAATGTAAAAACATATCAGGGTGAGCAGCCTTCACTCTTATAGATTAAAGATACATTTGAATAGCAAGATTTTAAAACAAAAGTAAGCATGGATTTTAGGCTTTGGTTTAGTGTAATAAAATAGTGTATCAACATCTTGTTTTCTGTTGACGGAACACTAGAATCAACTCTTCAGTCTTGCTTCAGTATACAAATAGCTACAGGCAAGTAGACCAGTAGGTCTACTAACAAAAAAGACAACTTATGGTAACTAAGAAACCATTAACTAACAAAAAAAAGGCTTATGGACACAAAAGCTACCAACAAAACATGACATGACTCTGAATGCTCAAGCCAGCCTAGTTTAAACACACAGTTTGTACACTGACAAAGTCTACAAAGAGACGGGAGTAGTAAGCAAGCACTGTTTTTGTCACTCCTTTTGAGTCGTTTAGTCACATTTGACCTGTGTAAACAGGTTTTAAAATTGTGCCAACAGCATTCTACCCACCTATATACTGCGATGTGTCCACTACTGGTACTCGTGAAACAGGTGTAAGCTGACAGAACAGCTGAAGCGTAAGATCATTTGTGGCCGGAGAAGTGAATCCCTTCAGGAGCAGCTGCTGCAGCCCGGAAAAGCCACTCCACCTCAGCTGGGCCTGGAGCTTCTCTAGTCTCTCCCTGTTCTCTTGCAGATCCAACGGAACCCGTGCCAGCAGTTTGTGAACCAGCCTCAATGACATCTGGTATTCGAATTCAAAGTCTGACTCCATGAGTGACACCGCCACCCAGAAGACGGTGGCAAGCAGGTTGGCGGGGTGACTGGAGTGGGAGGGGTCAGTGATGACACTTGTGTCGGCGCGGGTTGAGTTGGAGGATGTACTGCGGGCCGATCGGGCGAGACCTTGTTGGGTACAGGCTTGGATGCGGTCCAACGTGGCACTGCGAGGAGGGTTGGAGGATGAGTTTTCCCCGCTTTCGCCAAACTTCTTAGGGACGGAGTAACTGCGCTGGTGCCTGTTCCGCTCGTTAGTGCCACCCTCTTGGTGCAGGTTCAGCTGCCCTGTGCTCTTACGGTTTGGGTTGAGCTTCCCGCTAACCAGGAAGTCTGGAGAGGAATCTCTGTACATGGAAGAGACATTGCAGGTATGTTAAGAAAAACAAATGAATAATTTAATATTTTTTTCCATCCTGCTATATTGTTTTTAATAATACCATTACAAAGTTTTGGTAAAAGTTTTTAATGTTTTTGAAAAAAATCTCTTATTCTTACCAAGGCTGCATTTATTGACCCATAATACAGAAAAACAGTAATATTGTGAAATGAACAGTAGTGTACCGTGGCTATAAAATATTTTAGGTTGAAATGGTAGGAAAACATAATATACAGCATGTAATTCTCACCTCGTCAAAGCTGCCATAAGTTCACTGTTGTTCAAACATTCAGCTAAATTATCCACAACAGACTCCAGAGTGAGTAAAATCTCCATTACGTAACCCTGGAAGGCAAAAAGATAAAAAATTATCGCAATAAGATTGAAACTAAGAATTATTTGACCACCAAATGCATTTAACCAATCGAGCTGAAATATTCCAGAGAACTATATAATTACAGCGTTTATTGCATGGATTTTTTTAATACTCTTGCTGATGGATGCACACCTGTACTTCATCCCCATGTTCCCCCACAACCTCCACCAGCCGTGAGAGCAGGTCGGACACTGCGTGGGCAGAGAGGGGTTGTCTCAGGGCGCGGAAGATCTGGAACGAGCGCCCAGCATAATGGCGGGAGGAGCTGCAGAGGGCCGTCTGCAAAGCAACGTCACTCAGCTGATGCTCTAGATGGAAATCTGACACATGACACTTATCAGTCGCTTATCAAACAACCACTGTTCCAATATAATGTATAGGGGATATTACATTCTGTAAATATGACACATACTGTAAATGCACTAACAATGTTTGGTAATTACCTGATTTGGACTCCTTGAACACAGAAACCACATGCCGCAAGAAGTTGGTGAGCTGCTCAGTGCTCTTAGAGTTGGGGTTCTTTGGCGTGATGTCTTCATGGCACCAAAGCGGTCCGAAAGCCCTGAGTAAGGACAGGACAGTACTCCATGCTCTGTACCACCACCACCACCACCAAAATCACAAATACATAAACTACTGCTCTCTAAATGGCTGATTTAATGACTCTGGGAAATGCCCAATAGTTTTGCTGGGGAAAAAATGGAAACAATATATATTTCGAGATATTTATCAAAATTGCCTGTGTGAATTTCAAATGTGAAACAAATAAAATAAAATGTATAATAAATGTATAATTTAAAAAAAACTATTTTAAGTAATTAAAATATTAAAAGAATAATAATTAATAATAAATGATGGTATAATTATTTAGAATTTTATTTAAAAATAAAAAATATTTTGATCTTTGGCCATTAGGGGATGTGTGACCTTATGAATATTTGATAGTTGATGCACCATCCATTTTGTCTTGTCATCCTGATAATCATATTTATGCATTCTAGATTAGTGTCTTATGTGCCTGAAAAAACCCTCCCATTTGAGTTTCAATCTATTTTCATCTACATATATCGAAACAACTGCTAAAAATCTGTATCTTTGCCACACACCTGGTGGTGAGGAACTCAATGAGCTTGTTGGTTTTCTCATCTGATTCTGTGGAGGACTCGTCCAGCTCCTCCAGGTCAGCAGTGATTTGTGGCAGGTTTCCGATGCTTCCTCCCAGGCTAACACTAGAGGAGGTGGAGGACGAGCTTAGTCCGGAATCCGCCACTGGTGATGTCTGCCACTCCCGCAGAAAGTTGAACCCCCCTGTTCAGACGAGAGTGTGGTTTAGTTACGCAATGCATGCAGGTTATAAACAGTACAGCAAATCTGTAAATACTTAAACATTTTTCTTTTCTTATTATTGTGTCTGCAGGCCTTGTTTCAAAATTAGGCTTTTCTCCATTTCAAATTCGCCAGTAGTCTTCGCTGCATGTCTGTACGATCAAAATAGTAGCCAAAACATCAAAAAAAATGTGATTTGTATTCCAAGCTTTAATTGTCAGCGGTGACTTTTCACATGTGTCTATTCAGGTGTCAGTAAACAAGGAAACAGAAACATCAGTGACATTCAGGATAAAAGATTAAACTTGGCAGGGTGTCTGTCCTAATTACCTCAGTCTCGTCTATAGTGAGAAAGACAAACAGCTGCCAAAAATACTTTGAATTCTATGCCAAAGAGAGTTAAATCCTCACCCTTGGGCTTTAGCTTCATAATAGTTACCTACTTCCTCATTTGTAAATTTAAGCTGTGTTGAAAATGTAGGTGTCTTCTCTTTGCTGCAAGTGATGTGACAAAATGAGGTCAGATGAGTTTAATGCAAAGTCTCTCTGGTTTTTTGTGTGCATTTATCTTGCTGTGCAAGTTGGCATGACTGTAATGTTCTTGTACAGTTGTTGTACTTAAAACAAGGAATTGTGGGTAAAGACCGTACCCAGAGGAAATTTTTACAGGTTGCTCTCCATATAACACGATTGAATTGAGTGTTCACTTTGTCTTAAATGTTTTTCCTGCAGACTTTTGTATCTGAGCACAATTTGAAACTTTACTGTGATTTTGGTTTTTATTGGAAATAAAACAAAACTTCTAGCAAGAAACTGGAATTATTTTTGCGCAATTAAATAAATAAACAGTCTATGTTTATTTCTGTCAGTTGTTGGTGTCTTTTTGTGTCATGTTGGATTCTGGGTAGAGAAATGATTGTACCTGTGTAGAGGTATTCGGGCTGGTAGCTGGATTTAACGGTGAGCGTCTTGTTGTCGCCAATCTCTCTGGTTAGTAACAGGACAGAGGCGATGACCTGGAAGTTGTTGTTGCAGGAGAGGGCGATGAGGAGATGCAGGAGTAACCTCTTGCTGTGCTCAAATACCTCTGGCCGGTAATGATCCAAACCTGAGAGGACAGAGATGCACAGGTAAATGAACTGAACTGATTTGAGCTGAATAGAAAAGAAGTCAATGAAGTGGACAGGAATGAACAACATTCTGAACCTGAACTAATTACTTTCAAAGGGTGTTCCCACTGTTGTACAGTTGCATAACGCGGATAATGCATCATGTATAATACATTCCAAGGAGAAGCACAGAACACAAAATATGGTTCTGTGCAACAATGCATACTTGTAATAGAGTGCAATTGTTCAGGAAATTTTTTTGCAAACATTTAAATTGTACAAATTTTCAGACTTGCCATGAGCACAGAAATTATATGTTGTTATTTGTGATTTGAAGTTCATTAAATATGCTTAATTGACCCTTCGCAAAAACCTGCCCCCCTCAGTTACTGTTGCTACGTCCGACAAGCTATGCTGCTCTCACGCCACACATCATGTTCTCACGCAGTGAAAAAGACATCACGGAGCAAAGTTGAAACTGACAACGCACCGACAGAAAAGACAGAGCAGGTTACTTCTGGTATGAAACAAATTCCCAGCAGGCATACAACGTCATAAGACGTTGATATTTGGTTAAATTTCAGTTGCGACATCGGGTGACCAAAATTCAATATCAATTCAATGTCTAATGTCAATGTTAATTTGATGTCCAATACCGACGGCAGCTGATGTTGATATTTGTTGCTTTTAGGTTGTGTAACCAAAATCCAACATTAAGTCAATGTCAAATTGGCGTCAAATACTGATGTCAACCTGGTTTTCATTCTCAACCAAAATGCAACATCTGTCTGACGTCATGTACAACGTCAACCTGACGTTATTTTGAATTCCTGTGCCTGCTGGGAAAGTCTCAGCTTTCAAATTTTTAATTTTTTAAGAAATTACAACAATATCTACTATTTTGTGGCTCTTTACTGTGCCGTGACAGATCGCTGTAGTGCCTCAGTTCAAGCGGCACGTGAACCGATCATCTCTTCCTCTTTACTAGTTATAGCATGAAATAAACATGAATCAACATCAGAAGGTATCGTTTCAACCTCGCAAAGATGTCAATACACCATTTTTCAAGTTCACGACATGGATACACTCTCCTGACTGGTTTGTTAGTTGGACAAAATGGCAGATTCTGCATTATGATTGGTCAGATCGCCTGTCAAACAAACTCCCTGCGAAGGGTGAATTACTGATCAAGAACTACACTAACCACAGCCCCACAGAGAATTCCACTGATGGAGTTATCATAGGAACAAAAGAATCATAAAATAGCAACTGCCCACTCCCACAATGCATCTATAAATATCTGAATACTATAAATCTATATTTTAATGTTGTTTTCATATTATTTATTAAATACAAGTTTCAAATATTTTTCATTTCAAATCAAAGTTTGTGGTGTTGTGATCCATTACTGAGCTTACAAATATTTTTTTAAGGAAAAATAAAGGGCATTGAAAAAGTGAACAGTCACTGTTGTGCTCTATATTTCTGGCCGAAAAACAAAAAATCACAGGTGCACCAAAAGACACAAAGAGGAACGTGTTGTGGGCAGGAGGTGCTGACGACATCAAGAGTCTGAGAGAGATAAGCCATGAGTAGGCAACTGCTGTAAAATGCTAGAGCAAACTAACACAAGTGGGTTTTATGGGATTGGCTTAATAAAATCCATTTGCTACGCATGAACAAAAGCAACTGTGTAAGGATGAGTTTATGGTGTAAATCCATGTATGTCTGTGTAAATGTTTTGAGAGTAGGAGGGTTGGCTTTCATAAATCTCTGTTATCATTCAGTCTGACTTCATTAAAATGCAAAGGAAGACAAAAGTATAAGGAAGGCTCGGCTGGTACCTGTGAAGGGGTCCCCGTGGGGTGATGGTCTCGGGCAGGTAGTCCACCAACGGGGCACAACTGCTGTAAAATGCTAGAGCAAACTAACACAAGTGGGTTTTATGGGATTGGCTTAATAAAATCCATTTGCTACACATGAACAAAAGCAACTGTGTAAGGATGAGTTTATGGTGTAAATCCATGTATGTCTGTGTAAATGTTTTGAGAGTAGGAGGGTTGGACATTTAACACCTTTCATAAATCTCTGTTCTCATTCAGTCTGACTTCATTAAAATGCAAAGGAAGACAAAAGTATAAGGAAGGCTCGGCTGGTACCTGTGAAGGGGTCCCCGTGGGGTGATGGTCTCGGGCAGGTAGTCCACCAACGGGGCCCAACAGCCTCCATTCACAGGCATGGGAAGAGGCTGAGGTCTGTTACTCTCCAATACACTGATCAACCAGGCAGCATACGGAGGTAGAGGGTCATCTGTTAACACACACAATAGGAGTCAAAACTCAGCTGGGCATTACAGTAAAACAGAGTTAATAAGACACCAACGTGAACAGGGTAACCAAAATACCATACCAAATATAATAATTTAATAAACTGGAATTAAATATTGACTCCAGAAAGTAGAAATAGACCAGAGTGATACAAGAGATGTGAAACCGGCACAGTTATGTTGGACACAATGGTAAAAAAATACACAGAATGCTATGACTGACCAATCACAATCAAGTATTCCAGAAAGCTTTATAATTAGAAACATTTTTAAATGTGTCTATAGTGTTACATACAATTTAACATAAAATTGGTCGAATCATCTGAATCTGAATTTCTATAACCAAAATAATTCAGGAAATATTTCTAAAATTTTCTTGAAATGTCTACTATCATAAAGTATTATATGTTATTTAATCTTTATATGAATCTACAAAATTAATCAATCTAAATAAACTGATAATTTTGAATAAAAATTATTAATGCATTAAAATTAAATAATAAATTAATACATTTTAATTCATTATTAATTTAAATTAAAGAGGAATTTCACTCTGTCACTTCATATTACCATCTGGTGCGATGAGTCGATTCAAAGCGCATCATGCAATTAACTTATCATTCATCTCCATTAGAGCTGCCATCTTGCCACTCGGCCATCAGCTGTCATGGCAGGTATGTAGGCAGGACAAAAGCTGGCAGTTCCCACACCCAAAACTCACAAATATGTGTGCACAACTAGTTGACATGCACATGCATGAGAGAATACACAGACAAATTCATGCGTCGTGACCATAATTTCAGTACCGAATTCCTTAATACGGAGACGCAATTCTCTAGTGAGCATGTATTATTGGTATATACAGTATGCACCAAAAGGTAAGTCACATGTACAGTTGTCAGTTGTTAGAAATTTAAAGCTGTAAAACAATGAGTGTAAATGTATCCTTAGTCATATGTGTCAGTGTGTGGATTGACAGCTGTGAACCATCTGTTGCTCTGTTCTGGTAATCTGGGGGATTACTGACTGTAACCTAAAAGTTGTCTGTGAACCGTAAAGTTGTCCATAACTACATCCATAATACAGGTCAGATGAAGAACTTACTCTTCTCCTCATCATAAGAACCTCCTGAGCTGTTGCTGTAGCGTGATTCCAGGCGGTTATGAGCCCGGGCTGCATTGCTTAACCTGAGAAAATGTGTGCACAAAATACATGTTAGGGAACATAAAATGCACATGCATATTGACATAACATGTATTAATTGGCTGCTCAGTAGCTGCCTACTTAGTATTTATGTGGTGGATGAGAACTTACAGCCCATGTGTTTTGGAGAATTTAGTGTATTAAAAAAATTTATTAATTAAAACTTTTTCTTAATTTTTTTAAGGAAATCAAAGTTACATGAAGAAAGATCTACCTCTCTTCATTCTCTCTGACGATCTTTGCCTCATCTGTCTCCTGGAAGCTTTCTTGCCCGGCCACTACCGTATTGCTGCTTGATGTTGTGCCTTTGCAAACAAACAAAAAACTGAATATTTAACTATTCTTAGGTCAGAACCATACATTGGGTTATAAAATTCAAAGCATTCAATACAGCACAACCCAGGGTTCTGCAATGGAATGGACCAAAGCCATAGAACTGTCACTGCTCAACTGAGCTAGTACTACGTTTATAAGCGACTATATGTTAATTTGCATACTCAATTATGTATTAATTGAATTACTGCTTTGAATAATTTACAGGTTATAGATCTTCTCTTCTGAAAAATCTTACATTTATTAGGAAATACATTTCTTCTGACAATGCATTGAAAATAAAAAAAAGGCTGCTAAACCCCCCAAGGGATATGTGCCTCACCTGAGGCCACAACAGAGGTTTTGTTGCTGGCAACAAAGCGGTAAAACGGTGGGTTGTCACAGTGTAGAACCACTGGGTTTACCGGGTCTGTCTGCTGAAGCTCAAAGAGCAACTCCTCCATGGTCTGAATGGTGTTGTTCCGACACAGATATATCACCACTTTCTTAATCTAAAAACAGTTCGAAACAAATTTAGTCCATTATAAGCATCTAATGATTAAAAGAGTGTCCATATGTGTGTTTTCCTTACATAAGGCAGCAGTGTAGTGTCACTGCTGACTCCACACAAGCTTATGAGGAACTGCAGCGTTATTCTCAGGTTGTTACTCCACTTGTCATTGGCCACAAGAGCATTCCAGGCATTCTCCATCTCAGGACCTGGGACTTCATCTCCATACTGATGGAAAACCACACAAAAACAACATTTTAGTTGATTGCCGAATCTTCAAAGAGGTCATTTTCAACACTTTCATTGCACTGTATTATAGCATTGTGTAATGTAAGGCAATAATTCTTGCATAAACGTCATAAATAATCATAATTTAGCCTTCCTCTCCTCCTCATCCTCTTTGCAGTCTGGTAGATTCAACTGAGATATTAAAGATATCTACAATAATTTGAGCCTTTTTCATTTGGATGGGTTGAGTCATTACCACAACTGGCTATTTACACAATGCAGTGCCTCTCACCTTTGCAGTCATGAACATGAGGTTATTTAGGACCAGTGAGGTGGCCTGCAGAGAGCCCCAACCGTTGCCTTTGAGCCTGTGGGTGATTCCCAGGTTGTCAGACTGCTCACGAGCCTCTTCCTCTGGAGTGCACGGGCTGGAGGTCGGGGGAAGCAGTCCTGTATCAACCAGCTCTATATTGTTCAGCCACGGCAGCAGGTAGGTCAGCATGATCTGTCTGCCATTAGGGTGAGTGGTGGAGAACCTCTGGCTGACCTCTGCATGTGTGAAAAAAATTAGTGGGCAGGTTTAGTGCAAGATCAAAAGTTGAGCTGCAGAACAATAACAGAGCACGTTCAACCAGGCCCATTCTTTTGCATGTAGGTGTTGATTTGCTTTTGGTGGAGCAACAGTTTGGTGACGCATCCAAACATGTGGCTAAGAGCTATTCCTTGTAAAGCATGAGTAAGTGTGTCACAGACACAGCATGCACACCCTACCTGAGAAGAGTGGCAGGGTGAGTTCAGGATACATGCAGGCCAGCTGATTTGAGAGCTGGAAGAGTGAGACGCTGTATAGTGGCGGTAAAGGACCATGTGTGCCATACAGGATATTTCCTGATTTCTGCCCCACAATCCTCTTTGAGTAAACGGACAACTTGGACTCTAGAACCTGCATGACATAGAAAAAAAATAGAAAAAATATTTTAGAGCTAGCAATGTATTTATTTATTTATTTTTGGAGGGAAAACTTGTATATACATTACTTTCTAACTCTTATAAAAACATGCATAAATAAATCTTTCAGCCATAGAAAATACAAGAAAGGCAAGTAAAAATCTGAACAACTGATTGAAAAAAATGCATCAGGTACCTGCATGAGCTGCATGGATATCTCGTAAAGCTCTCTGCTTGTGTCAGATGACTTAAACAACACCAGATTCAAAAGGGTCACAATGTCACACGGATAATTCCTGAAAAGTAAGAACAAAACACAGATTAAAAAAAATGTATGATCTGCTTTCTGAAAATGTCATTAAAGGTGACCATGGCAATGAGGAAGGCTCCAATTACCTGCTACCGCACACAGTAGCAATAGCTTTGAAGCACCCTGAAGCGAGCTGGTATGATCCAGTGAAGCAGCGATCCACAGCCCAGTTAAAAAGATTCACCTGATCTGGGTTCAGTTCCAGGAGCAAGATAACAACCTCACAGCCCAGCCGATGCACCTGCAGCCCAGGGTGGTGATATAAATGTGAGTGTTTAAATTTGTGCTTTTCCCATAATCAAAGCAGAATTAAAGTTATTCCAATGTGCTAGTCATTAATCTCAACTTTAATTGCAAACCTAAACAAACAAGATAAAACTCATTTAAATGGTTGACAACACAGAATCAATAAAGTCAATAAAGCAGAAAAGCAAATAAAACAAAATGTGCTCACAGGCCAGTCCTGACAGGCTTGTTGGTTAAGTTTTAATGACAGGCATTAGACCTGATAAAAAGCAGCTATAAAATTTAAACAGGAAGCCTGTCCAACATCAACAGGTTAAGACAAAGACTACAGCTGACACAGGAACCGTTCCAAATATAAAAAGGAGCGAGTGAATGCTTACCCGGAGATCATGGCAGGCTAAGATATTGTCCAGCCACTTGTACAGGTATCCGTCTGTAGAAAGACCCACATGAGCTGCATGGATATCTCGTAAATCTCTCTGCTTGTGTCAGATGACTTAAACAACACCAGATTCAAAAGGGTCACAATGTCACACGGATAATTCCTGAAAAGTAAGAACAAAACACAGATTAAAAAAAATGTATGATCTGCTTTCTGAAAATGTCATTAAAGGTGACCATGGCAATGAGGAAGGCTCAAATTACCTGCTACCGCACACAGTAGCAATAGCTTTGAAGCACCCTGAAGCGAGCTGGTATGATCCAGTGAAGCAGCGATCCACAGCCCAGTTAAAAAGATTCACCTGATCTGGGTTCAGTTCCAGGAGCAAGATAACAACCTCACAGCCCAGCCGATGCACCTGCAGCCCAGGGCGGTGATATAAATGTGAGTGTTTAAATTTGTGCTTTTCCCATAATCAAAGCAGAATTAAAGTTATTCCAATGTGCTAGTCATTAATCTCAACTTTAATTGCAAACCTAAACAAACAAGATAAAACTCATTTAAATGGTTGACAACACAGAATCAATAAAGTCAATAAAGCAGAAAAGCAAATAAAACAAAATGTGCTCACAGGCCAGTCCTGACAGGCTTGTTGGTTAAGTTTTAATGACAGGCATTAGACCTGATAAAAAGCAGCTATAAAATTTAAACAGGAAGCCTGTCCAACATCAACAGGTTAAGACAAAGACTACAGCTGACACAGGAACCGTTCCAAATATAAAAAGGAGCGAGTGAATGCTTACCCGGAGATCATGGCAGGCTAAGATATTGTCCAGCCACTTGTACAGGTATCCGTCTGTAGAAAGACCCACGTTATCGAACACAGGGCCACAGCATAATACCGCTGACATAGCCTGACAACAAACCATGTACACACAGAAACAAAGCATTACATAAAAGAAAATTTCATAACAGAGCTCAATGGTTTGGAGCATGTGGACAAACCACAGTTCCGACAGGAATAAGACTTTAAAATGAATCTTCATCATGAGACTGAAATTACACACTGCTTTTAAACTTAACACACAAGGTACTTCTTTCTAACAGCCCTGATCCACTGTGACACACACAGAAAAGGCTTTTCACACCTTCTACTAAAAAAAAAAGTCAGAGCATCTGGTACTGCCAAGTGCATGCCTTTTTGGACAAAGACTGTGTAGAGAGCTTGGGGAATTTTCCGCAAGACACCCGCCAGTTTTTAATTGAGCATACAGGTACTTTCCAGATTGGATTTCAGATGTTTTCACTTGATTTAGTACTGCTAACATGACTGTATCTTTTCTTCCTTCAAGTGACATGAGCCAAAGAGACAAATGGCACCGAACAAATTCTAAACTTCCTTTTTCTTTAATTACAAGATATGTCTATCTATATGCCAAGTATGAGGGAATAAAGTCTCGTTTGATAAAATGCCTTGCCAGATTTTTAATCCAGGTTTACCTTCAAAGCGCAGTACTGGTAGCGTGTGATCTGATGGTTGCGATCACTATAGCGGTCCAGAGGTGTGAACATGACACTGAAGGGTCCGGCCCACTGGCTGAAGAGAATGAAGAGGTGATGCCTCAAGCTCTGCTGGGGGAACAATAACCGCCTGTTGTGGACTAAAGAGAAAAACACCAATGAGACTTGAGGAAAATTGTTTAATATCTCTTTGCTCTCAGCTTGGTACAGTGTAAAACATGTTTGGACAGGCAGCTTAAAATAGAAAATGAACTGGTATTGTTCAACATTACAGTTTAAAAGTTTGGGTTGGTAAGATTTTTTAAGCTTTTAAAAGAAGTTTCTTATGCCAACCAAATCTACATTCAATTTAAAGAAAATTGTGAAATATTATTACAATTTAAAATAACTGTTTTATATATATGTCACATAATCCTTCAGAAATCATCTTAATATGCTGATTTGGTACTCAGAAAACATTTTTAATAATTTTAATATATACAGTATGTAACACTTTTATGAAAACTGATACTTTTTGATGAATAAAGTTCAAAAGAGCATAATTTATTTGAAATAAAACTCTTTTTTGACATTATAAATGTCTTTACTGTCACTTTTGAGTTTGTCATATTTGTTCATAAAAAATACCAATCTAATTTTTTCAGTATGTTAACACTAAACAGCCCTACCTCACAACCATCATTTGATTTGAGAGCTAGCTGTGATGCAGGGCTTCTGGTGGGCTTATGTAGGCTGCTTGTGTGTCAGAGGGGATGTTGTGCTTTGCTGGTCTGAGGGTTTTCTTGGTCAGTCAGCACGTATTAATCAGAGCCAGAACGGTTCTATTCGTACTCGTAGCTCTGCTCCTGGGCCTTTAATAAGTGACTCATTCAGTGTTAGAGCCTACTGAGCCTTTGAAAAGATGGCTTGTTTGGATAACCTTAGACACCAAGACACATGTATCAATGGCTCTATTATATCAGTTAAAATATCTGACCCACTTTCATTATGGTCTTTAGTATGATGGAGTATACTTGGGAGTATTTCCAGTATTTATTGTACACTGGGAAAGATATTTGAGATGCTAATGCTAATTTTTAAATCCTAAAAGAGATAAGGGATATTCAAAATAATGGCTCTGTGCGTTACCTGGAACACACTGGATGAGGTTTGCCACCATTCCACTGAAATGAGCTCTCATGTCTTTCAAAATGTCCAGCTCTTTGTCATTCTCTGCTTCTAAGAGCATCCGTGTCAGATCGACATACTCCAGGAAAAGGGCTCCTAGAGCCAGGGAATCTCGTTCCAACGCCCCATTGGTACTGCAGAGAAGAAAACAGATGCACAAGGGATTTTTACAAGACTTTCCCTTTCCCTTTTTAATTTAACAGAGGTCAAAGACCTGCTTTGTTGTGAAACAAGATCAGTTTAGAAAGGTAAACCCAGGATTTGACTATTTAAGTCCACAAAACTGGCCTGGTGGGGAGAGTGGACAAGTTCACCTGTCACTGATGACCCCTGAGTCAGCAAGAAGCTCAAAGATACGCAGCAGCTGCAGCCGGAGCAGATCTCTCCGCTCTCTCCGCTTCTTATTCTACAGAGACAGAAAGAAAGAACAACACAGAGAGAGTCAATTTACATCTAAAAATGTGCATGAGCACTGCCACTGCACTATGGACCATTACGTTATTTGTGGGGTTTCCAACGTTTCCAAAGAGCTGCATTAGGACAGAGCTCTCACCTCAGGTCTCCTCTCCAGAGCTTCTTTCATTAGAGGATGGAGTTCTTCCACCAGCTCCCTAATCAAACACACATGTATGAAACAGTCATGAGAAATCCGCAGAATGAAAGCAACATAAATATGTTTTTGACTCCAAAGCCTGGTGGGAATATGGCTTTATTATGCAGTGTGCTGCTATGACTTCATAACTGACATAATAAGTCAAAATTAAAATCAATATGTCTAGGGTTGAAAAGCCTTAACCATTACGTTATTTGTGGGGTTTCCAACGTTTCCAAAGAGCTGCATTAGGACAGAGCTCTCACCTCAGGTCTTCTCTCCAGAGCTTCTTTCATTAGAGGATGGAGTTCTTCCACCAGCTCCCTAATCAAACACACATGTATGAAACAGTCATGAGAAATCCGCAGAATGAAAGCAACATAAATATGTTTTTGACTCCAAAGCCTGGTGGGAATATGGCTTTATTATGCAGTGTGCTGCTATGACTTCATAACTGACATAATAAGTCAAAATTAAAATCAATATGTCTATGGTTGAAAAGCCTTTAAGTTACATTAAATAGTTTGTGCTCAGTGTTATTCTAGTATTTTTATACAATAATATAGTATTTATTAATATTTTGAATTAATATATTTTCTGTCATTTTAATTTAGTTTTAGTAAATTTGTTTTAATTTTTTTTATAATATTTATTTTTAGCTTACCTTAGTCATTTCAGTAGTTTATGTTAAACATCTATTTTTAGGTAGTTGCCAGGGCAACATTTCCAATTTCATGGAATTCTAACATTCTAATAGTTCGAATAGTTTTTAAAATACTATGATTCTAATAGCTTTTCATCTTATATTTATATTTTGTTTCACCTGCATTCAAATGACTGAAAACATTTTTTAATAGTTCTAGCTTCAGTGAACTACTAGTAGAGTCTTGCGGAATCTGTAGATATCTGTCCACTTCTAAATAACGGCACACGTCAGAATGGAATGACAGTCATCTCTGCTATTTTGTTTGACACACACATTACTTGCTGCTCTTTTCATTTGCTGTTCTCAAACACATATTTTTCATAGCTTCCTCACTGTGTGTGGCAAAAGACCAGAGCAGTTACCTGAGTTCTTTTATATATTTGATGTAAAACTGCCCTGGTTTAAGAAATAACCCTATGAAAACTATGAAAATCTAGTTTTGGACACAAATATGCTAAATAGCACACTGGGTTCAGAAAGAAGCTTCTTTATTAAAAACAATACCTGAACACAAGGGAATTTGTTCGTCCAAAGCCAAGGACTAGAGACTCCGTGATCTCTAAACTCTCCGATCTCATGAGAGGAACCAGCTGTTTCAGGAGCCAAGCCACTGATGGTGTGCCTATCACCTGATCATAAACACATACATGTTCTCATGACATCACAGTTCTTTCATTTTCCGAATCATGACTGCTACGGGTGTAATGTACCTTGTTGTCATACGTGACACTGCCATCAGGTGTGGTAGCCATGATTTCAGGTGTAGAGGCTCTCAGGTGACCTGGACTCATGATACTAGGTTTGGCAACACCGAGGCACAATATCAGGTAATTCCTCCACAGCGTCACATAGCCATCGGCTGGACCAGACGTGCTGGTCTTTTTGGCATAAACGGGACTGCTGTGGGGGGGGACCAGAGAAAGGGGCTCAAAAATAATTTCTACTGGGGACATGAATGTCTATTCTTCAAACAATTTTTTCTGACAGCACTCGTGCTAAAAATCATCAAAACGGCAAGTTTTAAGAGTAAAGATAATGTAAATACTCACTTTGGGTCAACTAGTGGCATAAGCAGCTGTAGACGTGTGAATGCGTAGGGCCAGGCGTAGCTGAGCGCGGTGGAGCAGTGCTTAGGGAGGTGATCCGGCCTAAGGAAGCTATAGAGGCAGAGAACCCAGGGGTCCTTCACAGACTGAGCGAAGATCCACACGTGAGACGGGCTCTTTACATCATAGTGGCTGTTTACCAAGCGTGCATTCCACTCTACCAGCCACTGCAGGTCCACGTGATGATTCATGGGCAGGGTGGCCTTCACAGAACACAGATTTTAATAGCTGAACTTGAGCAAGCATGCATGAGTGTTATGAAACATTTGTTGACCTATAAAAGCCTTGTGGCACAAATCAATTTTATGCAAGTAGAGGCCAATACTGAGAACGACACATAAACATATGGATATACAAACAGAAACACATCCGCTGGGGTAATGAGAAATGCCTACAGAGTCAGAGACGGCCACATGGACGAAACTCTCCAGCACGCTGGGGGCCAGTTGGTCCATAACCTCGATCATGGATTTATCGTCATCCTGAGAGCAGAATCACATGACAGTCATGAGGCTCTTGCTGAATAATGTTTATGCTGCACTAACAGGTCTAGTACTGATTAGTATTATGTCTAAAATCAATCTACTTCATGTATATGCATATTTAGGATGATTTCAACTGGTCACATGACATCAAATGCAATTCAATACATTCAGTCAATAAGCTTTAGTGCCAACCTAATGTTTGGTTATTATCTGTGTGTTTTAAATTATTTTAACTATAAAACTAATTTCTTTTATTTTCTATTTAATTCTCTTTTCCATTTCAAACTATTGTTATTCAAATTATTTCTGTTCTATTTTACTTGTTATATTTCTGTTCTTGTCTACTCTATTTCATTTCTCTATTCTATTGTCATTTTCTATTCTATGCATATTCTATTCTATTATCTTTTTTCTATTCTATGCTATCTTTTTTGCTTCACTATTTTCTTTTTCTATTTTATCAGATTCTATTATATCTTTTCTGTTCTTTTTTATTCTATCATCTTTTTTCTAATCTGATTCTGTTCTGTTTTGTCTGTCTTATTCGTCTATGCTATCTTCTATTCTGTTTCTTTTTTCTTTTTTACTACTTAGTCTTTTATAATTCTATCTGATTTTATTCTGTTCTGTTCCTTTCTCTTGTATTGTGTTGTCTTTTTTCTATTTTATGCTATCTTTATTTCTTTACTATATTCCCCTTTTCTACAAGATTCTATTGTGTCTTTTTCTATTCTAATTGTTTTTATTATATTCTGTCTTTATCTATAATATATTATTCTGCCTTGTTCTGTGTAATTCTGCTTTAATTAGTTGTTTGGTTTAATTACTTGGTTTTGTGTTGTGTTTTTCTGGCCTAATCTGCTAAAGTTCCAGCAGATTGTCTTACCTCGGCTTGTCCGATGGCTGTAAACAGGCAGCGTATCTCTCGGAGGACGGACACAGCCAGTTTGCGGGTGCTGGTCTGGCAGGAGCACAGCAGAAGCAGGGCCAGACCCTCCACAGCATGCAGCACCGTGGAGTGAGGACTGCGCTCGGGTGGCAGTCTGGAGCTCCCGCTGCTGTGAGTTCCCATCTGAGGTCAACAAATATATACACATACACACGATCATGCCCACAACTCCAAAGAACTGTTTACATTGGCGAAATAAGCACAGCCAGCAAAGAGAACATTTTCATGCAAACGTCAAGTGGCACATAATGCTGATACCTCCGCCGAGCGTTTTCCAGGCGCCTGTATCGCCAGCCTCCACTGCGTCAGGAAATGCAGCAGCAGTTTAACAGACGAGTCCTGCAGGCCCTGCTGTGTGTCCTGCACTTCACGCAGCAGGAAGTTAGTGTACCCGAACAGCACGTCTTCTCGCCAGTCGGAGAAGTCTAGCAGCAGACTCTGCAGGGAATTCTGGGCAATGAGTCTGAGTTCATCATCCATGTGGACCGTCAGCCTGCAAAATGCAAAAAGAAAAACAATCAGTGACAATTATAGCTTTTTATTGCACGGTGCATTGTTTAGTCAAAGGGTGTGTGGTGAACCTCACCTGGCCAAGAGATCGATGAGCTCAATTTTGGACAGGCCATCTGGCAGGATACGGGGAATGGCCGCAACACACGTCCGGAACAAGTCAATCTTCGGTTTTCTCTCACCCCTGACCCGAGAAAGAGAGGGGATGAGTTATGCAAAAGTAAACAATGTGAGAAACAAAAGGAAACAGGAAAAAAAGAGAATGTCAAACTGTCTAAACAGGGTGTGTGGGCTGGATGTGACTCATACAGTATGTTGTCTGGTTGTGAGCTTTCCCTTCACCCACTCATGTTACACTCAGAGTTAAATAATAGGTGGAGACAGGCCAGAAACAGCTGCTTACGTGATCATATCCTCAGGTTCCTTGTTAAGCATCTGGGCATTGGTGAGCATCATGCAGCGGCCCACCTCTTTGTCCAAGTGCCTCAGGATGTTATCAATGGCCTTCCTGACCTGGGAGTAATACAGTGCCATACCTGCAGGGAATGGCATAAACAATCCAGACTATAAAAAACTGTAAGATGCACAACAAACTCAAGCACACACAAGCAGGTGTTCACAATATCAGTGGCCTGACCTATAAGTTTTGCTTCCTCCTCAGTTAGAGTTTTGCTGAGGTAGGTTTTTTTCTTCTTCAGAGTGTTCCCAGAAGGCAAAGTGGCCCCTGTGTTCGGCATGGGTGGTTCACCATCTTTCTGCTGCAGGTTATCGGCTATGACGAGGAATGCTCTCAGAGCAATGTTCATTCTCTGGACATACACCAAACAGATATCAGAAAATAAACCAAATATGCATTTTCTCATGACAAGATCTCAACTCAGTCTACTGGGATGAATGCATTTGTATGAGTTTACTTTGCTATACAGAAATTTTCCAACACTCAGCAAATCACATACTATTTTAATTCTATAATAATTTTTTTTGAGCATTTTAGGTAGAATTTATAATTAAGCTTCATGTAAAAACATTAGAACATTTGAAACAAACATGTGGGGGTGTGTGATAAACATTACCTCTGGATTTAAACTGAAAGCTTTGGCTGATTTTCCAACACTCAGCAGATCACATATTATTTCTTTCATTGCAAAATCCAGCCTTTCCTGTAGAAATGAGAGAAACAAAGATGATATTACTGTGTGTTATATGAAAAAGCCATGACACAAAAACATAGATGTGTAGCTAATATTTTCTTAGATGCTTATCAGGTGTACAAAGGTGTGTGGGTGTCAAACCTGGGCAATGAACTGAATTATCTTGACAAATATGTTGAGCGGCATGTCTCTAGGAACGACGCTCCGTGAACCCTTAGGGAACAGCGTTGATATGATTGAGGTGAGGCGGCTGGAATGGATAAAAATATAAAAACGTCATCATAACAGATGTCAATCATCAGAATCAACATTATCAAATCTTACTCTTCATCATCACTGGCAGTGTAATGCATTTGAAATATCCATTATATTTCTTACATTAGAAATATATTTCTTAAATTGTGGCTTGTATGTTTCTGATTTTCAGTACGCTACCTTTGTGTTGCAGTGTTGCTTTCACATTTGATTCGGATCATGTAGACCCACAGCAGCCGATAGAGAGATTCAAGTGCCACCCGGGCCATTTTATGGTCTTTGTTCTGAAAGAAGAGCACTTCGCTGTAATTTCCAGTTACGTTCCTGTGATGCATCTAATAAATTATGATCACCAAATATGTGCACTTTTTAAACTTCTGTATAATTTCCACTAATTCCATAATTTACACTATTTCAACAATAAAAAAGCTTCAAACAGCAGATCAGCTTAAAAAAATAAAGAAAAATTATATAAGAAATGAATATTTATATAAATTATAATAAATTAACATTTATATAAAATTATATATAATAAATGGATTCATAATATATATTTTAACACATTTAATTGTATTGTTTTAAAGGGGTCATATGATGCGATTTCAAGTTTTCCTTTCTCTTTGGAGTGTTACAAGCTGTTCGTGAATAGATAAGATCCCTAAAGTTGCAAAGACTAAAGTCTCAAACTCAAAGAGATATTCTTTATAAAAGTTAAGACTCGTCCACGCCCTCCTAAAACACCTTGTTTAAACACGCCCCCACATATCTACGTCACTGTGTGGGAAGATTTGCATAACACCGCCCAAATGTTCACGCAAAGAAAGAATGTGTAACTTTGATTCTCGCTGTACTATTGTTGTTGCCGGCGCCGCCACCATGTCGTGGAGACGCTTTGTGTTTCATTATGAAAGCAAAACTACTTTGTTTGGCCTTCCAAAAGAGGACACAACTAGAAATCAGTGGTTAAGTTGTATTTACAACACTGTTCCAGAACAGTTCAACCCAAATATTCAGATGTGAGCAATGCATTTTACGGAGGACGAGGGCAGTTTCCTGGGAGAGTAGCCTACAATGCTGGTGTTCTGACAAATAATGCTGACTCACAGCCTGTAAGTACGCTTTCATACATAAAGGATTTGCCACTGATGATTCAAACGCGAGTTTTGAGCAGTGTAGAATTAGCGCTTGTTGTTTGTTGTTTCTCCGATCACAAATGCAGACATGGTTTTATATTTACGCGGCGCGATGCAACACAATGCGTAAAAAGACAGTACAGGTCATTATAATCAGTAATTATGTCCCCACTGGATGCAACAAATGCCTCGTTTATAATGGGTTTTATTGTTTTTGTCTCGTCGCTCTGGGAGACGGCATCACAGTATGGTAGGGGGCGTAACATTTCCGTCACACACTTCAGGTATTTGGCCAATCACAACGCACTGGATAGCTGGCCAATCAGAGCACACCTCACTTTTCAGAACGATGAGCTTTGTAAAAATCGACGCGTTTCAGAAAGGCGGGGCATAGAGGAGAAACAATAATGTACAGTATGTGGAAAATAATGTGTTTTTTGAACCTTAAACCACATAAACACATTTCATTACACCAAATACACAAAATAATGTTCTTTTTTAGCATCGTCATATGACCCCTTTAATATATTATAGGTATATCAATAAATGTATCCTATTGTAAGGATGTTTATATATTTTACTGTCAAGGCAAATAAACTGATTAAAGGGGTCATATGACAATGCTAAAATGTAATGAAATGTGTTTATGCGGTTTAAGGTTAAAAAACACATTATTTTCCACATACTGTACATTATTGTTTCTCCTCTATGTCCCGCCTTTCTGAAACGTGTCGATTTATACTTTTAAACGGTCTGTTCTTTCATGTTTTGTGTTTCTTGGCTTTGGTGTTAAATTTCCTTGGACTTTTGACCAAACGTGGACACTAAGGGTCTGTTTACACAACAAAGTTTTCAGCCAAAAACTGGAAATTTTTTATACGGTTTGCCTGTTAGTTTACACGACAAGGGCGTTTTGGGGACTGAAAACGCATATTTTTTTCAAAGTGCAAGTTTTTGAAAATGCCACCATTATCGTTTCCGTGTAAACACCCAAAACGGGAATCTTTGAAAACGGTGACGTTATGCGTGTGCGTAGTAAGTGTAAGGTATGTAGACATGCACAGTATGTGTCAATTTTAAAGGCAAGCGCGAACAAACATACACAACAATGGTGGAGTACATGGTACTGTTGTTGCTGCTCAAGAGTTTGCTAACGCTTCTTCAGCAAAGTGTAGATTTACTTCACCAGTACTACAACCAACAGCGGAGGTTGTAATAATTATATGTTCATATACAACATATAATCGTCACTTCCCTACAGGTACTGTTTACTAACAAGGTGACAGCGCCAACTACTGGCCTGGCATACGTAATACAGCTTTTTTGGCCGTTTTCGCGGATATGTGTAAACCAAGCGGCAACCTTCCGGTCTCTCTCATGAAACCAACACGGAAGTGACTAAAACTGCAATTCATCAACTGGCCGCTAGAGGCTGGCTCCAAAAGTTAAAATGCCCAACTTTACAGCAGAAAAAAATATGTTTACAGCCTGGTACAAAAAGTGGCTTTGGTCTATATAGCTAATTTTGCCCTTCATGACAACTGTGAGGGGGGTTAATTTTTTTATAACTCATCCGTTTAAATTATATTAAGCCTTAAAGTTCTGCATAATTACGGGCGTGGCCACTTGAGTGACAGGTGGATTGCCGTTGCTGTCACCGCCGTCGAGCTAGGTGGGCGGGGTTTCAGCAACCAGCTCCCGCCTCTTTGCCCATTTTTGATTATCCGGGAGTGACGCGTGGTGACGCGCTGCCAAGATGGCGAAACCATCGAAAAACGCTCTTCAGAAACCTACGGGTGACGTCATAGACACTACGTCCATGTTTTTATACAGTCTATGGTGTAAACGCGAATCGTTTTGAAAACATTGTCGTGTATATGAGAAACTTTTTAAAAACGCAAGGGAAAAACTTTTCTGTTTTTGACTACATCGTCGTCTTGTAAACGTAGCCTAAAGCAAACAGATATTTTTCCTACAGGTCAAAACCTTCATTACATAACAAGTCAGCAGCTCTCAGACTAACTGCAGCAGACTGCTGCAAGTACAACATTACAACTGCCTGAGACTCAAAGACAATGAGAGATAACGGAAATCAGATTAAGAGCTGAAAGCTTGAAAGAAAGATCCAGCATCTTGTTAAACATCATTGCCAGAAGGTCTCTCAGTGCTGCACTTCATGGTTATTTTGCACCTCCTTTTTCTTGCCCCAACTCATTTCATTCATTCTATAACTCTGCCTCTCTCACACCCCGACACAGGTATAAAGACTGAATTGCTGAGTACAGAATGTACACTGAGATGTTATAGCTAATGATAAATGATTCTCCTGTCCTACCTGCCTCCCCTTCAAGCATGCATAACTTTCCTACATGTTGCTGCCCTCCCTCTGCATTTCACACATTTTTAACAGCTATTTGCTTATAACAGCTGCCACTTTAAATTTCTGTGCACTTGACTGATGGTCTCCAATGATTAAAAGAACATGCAATCACATGATGCTTACACAACTGCCTTGCACAACAAAATTGCATTAATTTTTTCATGTGATCTGTTGCAATATGCTCATCCATAATCTGACGTCATCTCAGGTCTATTGTATCACACAAGTTTTGTGGATCACAAAGACTCACTTTCAGGTTGGACAAGCAGTTGTTGAGGAAGACGTGCCATCTGTTTAGAAAGATTTGCTTCTGGCTCACACACAGCAGACATGTTACCAATGGATACAGAGCCTGAGAAAGAAAAAAGACAGATCAATGATTACATTATACAGTATGTCCTTAACAAGAACTGTAAAATTCGAAAATTGATCAAAGTCAGTGAATCACTCTAGAACAAAGTGTATTCAAACTCTCTCTCCCCTACACCTCTTTATATCTGTAGCAATTCAGACACACACAAATTCCTACTGAAATCATTATTAATCATGGTAACCACTATTCCAATAAAAAAAAAACATAGTTTGAACAGGTCGCAGCTATAATCAAAAAGTGATTAAAATAAACACAAAAACAAAGATTTGTTAATATTCTTAGACAGCTTAAAGCAGGTATGAATTTAATAGTGTAAAAATAATTGCAGCAGGCATGTTGCTATGGTTTCATTAAAATATTTGCCAAGAAAATGTCTGATAGCACATTTACTGTTAGTAATTTCATTATTGTAAATTATTTTTAAAAATGTCACATTATTTATTTAAGTGCATATGGGTATTTTTGGGTTGAGAACTACACTTTAAGAGGCACTGCTCTCAAACATATTTTAGAAAGTACTTTGCTGTCATAATAATTTTCCACTTGAGTTGTTATCTTTAAGCTGGATTGCAAAATATTTAGCGGCAATTTGTGGCAAACAAATAAACTGAAACGATGCCCTTTAACAAGAATGTCAAAATGCACAACTCACACACATCACACAGCTAGCTATTGTGTCCCGCAGGTTAGGAATGTATAAAATCAACAGTTGTTATGTTAAGTTTTGAAAATGTGAAAACATTTTTAGAGATGGACTATTTGAAACATCACAGACAGCAAAAACATGTCAGCTATGAGCCAATTACTGTTGATGCATCTCCCTCTACTGCTCTCAAGCTTGGGCAAAGAGAGCCAGACTTGCCAGAGAGTGTTTCTTCCTGGATGACAGGTCTAACGTTGTATCGTAGAGCGTTTCCACAAAATTCCTCAAACAGGGCACGTTCACCTCATTCTTTACCGTCTGAAGAGAAACATCATGTTGAGAATTACAGTTTGAATAGGAAACTCATTCAAATTTAAATCTGCATACAGAATTCTGTAAACTTTTTCTTAAACAAATTCTAATTTAGTGCATAAATAAAAAACACATTTAAATATTTAAGCATTCAAATACTTAGCTTGGCTTTGTTTACTGCAGCAAAGACGGCTGTACTTACTGCGGCTACAGGGACGAGTATCTCTACGAAGAGTCCAGCCAGAGAGTGTTTAATGTCCTTATCTTTCACCTCCAAGAAATACTGAGCACACTCCTAAAAACATATAAGAGTTCAAGAGAAAGATTTTTATTTATCATAGTGTACACTGTTTGTCAATTAAAATAGAACATTTGTAGTATCGATTTGGTGTGTACCTGCATAAACTGGAAAGACGCTTCAAAATCTTCCACTGGGTACATTTTAATACGAAAGAACTTGACCCCCATAATGAGGCTGATGGTGCTCTGGACCACATACGGGCTCTGCTCTTTCTGCCTGAGCTCCTTCAACTCTGAGATGAACTTCTTCCTCACTGCAGGAAACCTGGGACGAATGGAATGGTACTAATATTTATAAAAAATAATACAGCTAAATAAATATAATAATAAAAATATAGCAAAACAGCAAAGTTTTAGTTTGACTCCCATCATTCTGTAATGGCGATTTAACTACAAGCTGTTGCTTGTTTATCCATATTTGCATAATATATCTTATGATAAATTGCTTATGATGTTTCTCATTTGTAAGTCTAAATGAATAAATGCAAATTTATGGCAAAGCAACATACAACGAGACATGGGTAAAGATGTCAGTCCACATGTGTACATAATTTAAAAATACTTCAGACAGTATACAAAAAAGATTCCTGCCTGAAAGCATTCCACATCTACTTTAGACAGATCGACCAAAAATAAATTCAAAATGTACTAAACTCAAAAAAACAACAACAACAATAAACAGATTTTTAAAGTCACATTCAGTACTTGTCTGTTATTTAAATATCTTTTAATTGTCTTCAACTGAGGGCTTTTCTCAATATTCATTACATATGCAACCAACTGCAATTAATAATAATGAGAATATCAGTAAATTAATTCAATCAAATTACAATGGGAAGCTCGAGTTTAAATCCATTCCACCAAAGTCAGCAGATTCTGTTTGGCCGGGACTTGGATGTTTCTTGTACACATGTGTTAGGGAGTGTTTGTGTGTTTGTGAGTTCACGCTGACAGAGGGAGAGATCTTCAGTCCTATATTTAGAAAGGCATCTGGAGGGGGAATAGGGAGGCATCTCTCTCTGCAAGACTCGATGTTTGTTTTAGGTGAGCTACAACTGGCTACTTTCCCACTCAGAGAAATAAAGCAACCATGTGTATTTGCACTGTACACACTGTTTGACTGAATTATGCCATTTATCATGTACTGCATTGGGGAGAAGAACAGACCCATGCATACCTAACATGTCGTTCGACTTCAACAAACATATGTAGACTCCAGAATTTGAAGACTTCCTTATTATTAGTTCAGCCACAAGTACATTTTTCACACTATTAAATATGGAAAGAGGCCATTACTGTCAGTACTGGTGCTCTCACTCTGATAGGGAGAAGCTCCATCTTTGTGACACTGATGAAGCTCCCTGTGAACATGACGAGATGTCTCGTCTGTCAGGGTAATGGGCTCCCATTAGTGTTTCATCTAACACTAGACACTCTGTCACAGGAAGAAGAATGCCACCATAATTTTGAGCTTGAAACCAGGTCGCTGGCTTCAAGAGGAATCATGGAGCCATCCATTTCGAGGTGAGGTGGGAATTTTAAAGCAAACGCATGTAGTTTTGGTTTAGGATCTAGATTTTACAGTGGTGGCCCAACACAACATCAAGCGAAAATGGTTTAACTGGTCCAAAATCTTACTCCACATAACTGTATATTAAACTCTAAATATGTTCTGATTTTACTGCTTCATAATTTACCTGGACTGGGCCACGACACCGACAACCTCTGCATACAGATCAGCCACTATGTGCATGTTGGTTGTGTTGGGCCCAAGGTACCTGCAGGACAGAGAAAGACCATCATTTTTACTGGCTAAACAGCACTTACATTTGCAGTGAGTACACTCGACTGAGGGAAAATTTAAATAATGTAAAATGCTTAATAGGCAGATTTACTCATGCAAACACATGCAGGAAAATTATGGATTATGGTGGATGGAGGAAATAACTTGAATGGATCGTTACCCCTCTTTGTACTTAAAGTGTTTGAAGGCCAGGTTAATGACTTCCTGAATGAGGCCATCCAGAAGAGGGTGGAGAGGGATCTACAAAGAAAGCCAGAAAAAGGAATAGTAAAAATACATAAATTAACATAAATTAAATAATAGAATATAATTAAAGAATGAATTTCATTAATTAATATATTTATTTATTACTTTATATTAAATAAGTACAATAAAATAAAACATAAATTATTAAATCAAAATTGAAATAATAATTATTATTACCTGTTTTAAAACCTCAATAAGCACAAGTGAGAATATGAAGTCTATTGCTAAATCCCTTCTTTCCATCAGATAATCTTTCTGCTGTTCATCACTGAAAGAGAGAGGGAACAAGAAACTGAATAAATCCCATTTTGATAAACAATCACTGCTTGCTTAAGTCAATAACATAAATATGCTTCCGGGGTTTGTGCCATGAGAGCTTCTGAAATCCTCTATGGCCTGTATTTGATTCTGAAGCACTGATGTAACCAAACCTAACTGCCAATAGCGATATTTGATTACGGTCTGCGGACATGAGATTGCATATCACTGCTGAGGAATTTCTACCTTGCCTTTACCATTAATATGTGGCAAATAATTTAGGCTAAGAAAATGTTTTAAGTGACCCATTTCTAAAATACACTATTAAAAAACATTATTATGAAAGTAGGCTTCCATAGAAATGTCCACAGGAAAAAAATCCACCAGACGATACTAATCTTGTTAGTGCATCTATTCAAAAACAGCCAATCATAACAGCCCTTTAGCTATTACTGGCCTAATGTCAGATGAGCTGCTGTGCAGTGCACTGCAGTAGAGATTGTATTTCATAAGATGAAGGCAAGGCTTCCAGATGACAGGCTTCAATCACATGCTTCCATCCACACTAGATCACACATACTGTACATAAACACACAAATATACAGGATCCTATTAGCACGCTTATGCAAAAGACATTAAATCAGATTAAACTGACTTAAAGAGCAGATACCTTATTTTGTGTGCTCTATTTTTATCTCAAGTATACTCTATAGACAGGGTTCAAACTGGCCAAACATTTCACCATACCCAATATAAGAGTTTACAAATTTTACAGTTTTAAAAATAGTTCAGAAACGTTAATGTAACTTTAATAATCTTGGTGAAGATTTGTAACTTCAGTGACTTTAAATCTTGGTGAAGACTCACTTTTTGGACTTGGTGTTTGCACGTGGGCGGTACTCATGGGACTCGTCTTCCAAGCCGTTCTGTCTTTTATACCAGTCAAATAGCGTCCGCAGGATGGAGGGAAGACAATACTCAGCAAGAGAGCTCATAGTGCTGATCAGCTGTGGGGAAACATTGGAAGCGACTTCAGGAAACTGTTCATCAACTGTCACAGCACTAATTGTACTGCACAAAATGCAAAGGGAATTAACTCTATGCACGAAATTGAATATTAGCATACTGCTTACTGTACAGTACATACTGTATACCTATTTTATAAAAATAGTATGTGAAACCGTATGCAGCATCCATATTTTAACAACGGAAGTCATCTGGGTAATTTATGCATGCAGACAATTTACATGTTGTGCATAGCGCTTAATTAAAAAAAACAGTGGGTAGTACGGTATGGCCAACATTGCTTGAATGCGCCATATAAAAGACTGTAATGCTACATTTCAATTTGTATTATATATAGTATACAATATCTATACCCTAAATAGTATTTAAAATAAGAATTAGTGTGTTATAAATCATAGTATGTTGAAATGATTATCCCAAAAGATCTAAAGAAAGTAACCTGTGGCTAATATTGCCCACCACCCATTGCGCTTTACAGAAGGATTCAGTAGTATGTCCCAAAACATGTCAATTCTTCTGCTGCACACTCAGAAATATGTACTTTTTCTCCAGAAAATGAATACATACTTTTAGGGCATACTGTAGCTTAACTAGGCAAATTGAGATGCAGCATAAATGAAATGTTATTATGGGTGGTATTCGGGTCAACAGAAAACAGACAGAATTTAGATCCAGGGAGTGGAGACAGTCATACAGGCTGAGCTAAACCAAATAGAGGAAGGGAGGGGTGTCTGGGCAGAGACGGCCTGGTATTCCCCCAACCACTGCGAGATGTTCATGCACACACACACGTTCAGACTGCTTAAGAATTCAGTACAGAGGGGTAAAGTCGGGACAGCATTGCACCAACTACAGGAATGCTATTCTTAGGGTCTGACTGATGATGACTAAAAATCTACCAATAGAGAATGGCAAGAAAAGTTGGATGGTATGGCAGCAGATCATTTATTCGTTTTCAACGTTACTTTATCATTTCCAGAGCTATCAATTTTTGGTGGAAAGAAAACAAAAACATATCTACAGCCCTTATTGTTTAATTGTGAGTGTGTATCAGGCAGGATAAAAGTCTTAAAAGTCAGGAAGGATATGGAAAATGTCACTTGATCTCACCTGATCAAACTGTGGGTCTTCTCCTCTTTGTAGAGACTTGGTGAGGGGCTTTTCCTGCAGAACATCAAAAAGAACTTAAGAGTCGTAGATAATTGGCTGCAGATTCCCAGCTGGAAAACAATTTTTCTTTTGTAATGAATGAACTTGAAATAACATATAATACAATCGCCATTGACTGAATAATTTGGCTTTCCGTGTTCTCACTGTTATTTGATAGCGGGCGCTATTAAAAATCTTCTGAATAAGTACAGAATCTCCAGATCAAAACACAAGTGAAGAATCAGCAAAAACAAGAGACAGCAAACGTAAGCAGATGCATATAAAAATAATGCGTATAATGCATATAAAAATAATGCTTTAAACGTTGCTTTTTTAATGAAACATATTAACATTCAAGTGTTCATAAAAAAGCAGAGGCTCTATACTTTCTTTTGACACATTCATACAGAAAAATATTCTGGGGGCCAAGAAATTTTTTGTGAAAATGATCAAAAATTATGCCAGTGACTGGCAACTTAAAAAAAAAAAAAATGCTGGCAGAGAAAGAGTTAACTTTAGAGGCTAATTTTAATTCAGCTTTCAGCTGCCAATAAAACTGTAGTAATCTCAGAATTGTTGACCACTTTATTCCATGTTGTCGCTCCAAAATCTGTGTAACAAATGCAAAAAAGCTTGTCTTGGTGTGCCTATAGCTCACGTGAGCATTATCAATGATTGAAAGAGGTCAGCGAAGACTCTCATACTCATTCTTAGCACTAAAACAACTGTAATCCTCTGAATTTAATCTAAAGATGCCACAGCTTTAATATGCAGGTGTGGGAAAGAAGCCCTTGAAGCCAAGTGAACAACTTAACTGGGGTTGGGTCTGAATGTCAAATCAAGTGATTAACCCCATAACACATAGTCACTCTTGTGGACACACACACACACACTTTCAGGTTAACAAGGGTGGACATGGTCAAAGGAGAGCTGAGATTCTACAAACAGGTTGAATATAGATGTCTAGGTCATGGCTGTAATCTGTTTCTAAAGGTAATGATTCTATTATGGTTGATCTTTTAATCTGATGTGAAGTTACTGCTGTGATCTATAAATTGTGAACTGTACATTACTGGCTGTTGACTTGAAAATGCACTTGACAAAACTCAGCACCTCAACTGCGATGACAAAGTCACGAATGTGAAATTGATTCATTAACTTAAAGCACACACTGTCCAGGCACAGCATGTCTATGCACAGAGATATTACTTAAATGGGTGTGTTGAGAGCTTTGACTGCTTCCTGTTTGGTATGTGAGCTTTTTGGCTTGAACATACCAAGCAGACGAAACTCATTCCTGTCCACTTAAATCTGCACTCCAGCATAATGGAATTACAGTGATACAGAGAGACCAGGCAACCTGAGCCACTGCAGCAAAAACATACGCAGTATCTCACGGCTAGTAGTGCAGTTTGAAGATATATTGTGAAGTATTAACATTCGATGCCTGCCAACTAAAGCAATTACTAATGAAAGCCAAAGCACAGTCATTAATAACTTGTATGCCATGGCTGTTACATATCTCTCTAGGGCTAGACTTTATTTACTTGCATTTGGGGTCTTGTGTCTCAGATGATCTGCATGTAAATGCTTTGGAAAATTAGATCCCAAGAGATGTTTGACTTTGTCTTGCCTGAAAAATGTCTGACATCAAACAAAAAAAAGGGTCTCTTACCAGTGGTTCTGCCATGATGATGCGTATTTTGCGTTCAGACAGGGTGGTGAAGTTGGCGAACAGGCTTTTGAGGACATACTCGCCCGGTTTGCTCTCTGGGTCCACGGTAATCGGCATGGTGGCAACAGGACCTTTCCTCTCGCCCGGAGCGCTGTTCACTTGGGGGAGGGGGCGCTTTCCTATGGGGGATGCTGGGAACGCACAAAAAAAAACAGGATTAGTTTATTATGGGTCTTATTAGTAGCTCAATTGTTGCGCTAATCAGTGCACTGACAAGTGCCAACATGTTGTGTAGTGCTAGTGACTCGAGTGAATACAACTTGGGTGATTTTCTGATCCCACACAGAAGTAAAAGTGCTTGGCCAATCAAATGCTTTGAGATGGAATCAACTTGCCAGATTATCAAATTAAAAAACATGACTGATATTTTGACAGATATGAAATACTGAAAGTGGTGCTGTCAATGAGTACGTTTACATGGACAACAATAATACGATTTTAACACGATTAAGACAATACTCTGATTAAGAATCTACCATGTAAACAGAGATTTTTTGATTACTTTAATCCGGCTAAAGTCATATTCGAAGTAAACAAATCGAATTAAGACACGTGGAGTATTCCTATTTTAGTCGCATTACTGAAGTGCAGTATAGACATGTAAACACCTTAATCACATTATTACTGTTGTGTAGGACTTTTCGCCGCATTTTGCAACAGGATACACACACGGCAGTGGTCAACTGTTTGACGGCAAATTAAAGAGCTTCAACACCGCCATCGTCTGTATGCAGGTACAAATAATTAACTGCACTTGAAGCTTTCATAAAATAAAAAATGAAGCACCCAAAACTGTACATGGCATCATCACGAAGACAAACTATATGTTTATACGTGAAATTCCGGAGGGGTCGTAATGACGTGTGCCATTAATCGAACTATGTACTATAACATGTAAAACGGGAACATGAAAGGATTATTCTAAAAGCAACTCATGTAAACACCATAATCATAATATTGGCTTATTTAGAATAAGGTAAATAATTAGATTACTGATGTCCATGTAAACGTAGTCAATGTTAGGGTTGAGGCCTAAGTCTACAGTATGCCTTGAGAGCACCATCTCACATGGGCCAGGGATGGAGCAGCTGGTGTTTTCATTTTTGGCATGACCATGTCATCGCTCCTAAAGGAGGGAGGGGGGTCAGCAGTCAGGCCGGGGCCGGGGGAGCCCACGTCATGTGGCTGCAGGGGCTTCGAGCATGTGCTCCTCTTAGAATAGACCCCTGCAACCTCACAAGTCACAAGCTGCAAAACGAATAGGAAAAAAAAATTCCTAACAGCAATATGAGCAGTTTAAAGAGACGTGCAGTAGTTTAAAATTGAGGCAATTACCTCAAAATGATGATTGCATAAGTGCTTTTATGAACAGTTAGAGATTAAAACTCTTAAAGGACTGTTCATTAACTATTTTTTGCTAATATAAAACTATCCATGTCAAAACAGTGACGCACTGCTGCTTAATCCCCCATTCAAGCAGCATCAAAAGCAGATCATTCCTCTACACAGTCACAATTACACTTCTTAGGTCTTCATTGTTAACTACACCTTTTCAGTTTTTTTAAGAATATGTGAGTAGTGTAGTGGATGTTTGTCAAATCATTGCTACTGCATGCGGTTGCGGTCTCTGTAATATTCTGGTGTTCAGATATAGTTTGGAAATTCTTTCAGTAAGCTCCAACGAAGAAATGCACTGCACTAAAATTCCTCTGGCAGACCTCACAGTTTAAACTTCACGCCATGTTAATAGGAGTTCATGACCGGACCACTGCTCAGGTCAAGGGTAGAACAATGGAATGATTAGTACTTGTGCTAAATGACATGAGACAAACCACCTAGAAGGAAACCAGAATATTTAGAAGCTGTTGGATGAGTATTATCAAACAAGACCAAAACAGACATTGAACATTTGTTAATCATCAATTTGAATTTACAACATATGGTTGGCTTGACAGTCATCTGTACATAACATTAACGTCAACGACGTTATTTATGGACAAACAGCGGACGTCAGTTGACACCTCCGAATTTGCTGTCGAGCCCGAGCATTTCAAACTGAATGAGGAGGGGAGCTGCTGGAAAGGAATCGTGAAATAGTTTGCTCGCTTCATGAGCCTTAAACACACTATCAGGAATCCACAGAATACAGCCTCCTTATAGCAAGCGCTGAGAACATGAACAATACCCACGCACCCGCAGACCTTTCACTTATGTGGCACCTACCAAGGCCCTTGATGAAGCTGATGACGCTGGCCCGACTCCACCGTACGGGAGAAAGCTCCATGATGTGGCCGTGTCAGTTCCAGTAATCCAAAACAAAACTAGCCCTCTACCTCCACCAGAGCTCCATACTTCCAATCTGTCTTCCCGCACTGTCTTTGTAGACCTGCACCATGCTGGGCAGCCCTATCAAACAGCCACAAACTTGGGATAGCAGGGCTTTGCTCTTGGAGTTATAGGAGTAAGAGACCGTAAGTTCAAGGAAACACAGCCTTCCTGTGTAGCTCCTAGTAGACTTTTGATAAAAGCAAGCCCTAACTGAGGAGAAGGTCAAGCTGGAATTCAAGCAAAGCCAAGAGAGAGAGAGTGAAAGATTGAGCGAGAAAGAGAGAGAGGGTGGGAGGGACTAAGTGGTGCTATATTTAAACTCAGGACTGACACACACTCTTCTAACACATTCATTTCTTTTTACTGGGGGTACACACAATTAATCTTCAAAACATGTACACATATAGAATTTGTACATTTCAATTAAATCTATAAAAGCGTTACATTCTATGAAAGAATTAAAATGCCCTATATGAATACGCATTGTGACATCATGATACCCATTATGACATTGTGATGTATTTATGATATCATCAGTGTATTTCAATTGGAATTCACACTCAGTGAAATATGCTATCTTAATGACTATTGTGACACCTCACTGGATTTCACTGCACACTTCAGTGAATCCAGTGATTCTGATATTATATTTCACTGAATATCATAGGTATGATATAAACATTAGCAGAAGGGCTGTTGTGACATCATCACTACATTTCAATGTATAACACTGGATCACTGGAGTGCAGTGATGATGTCACAATAGCATTCTGATATAATGTTTAAATAATACCTATGATATCCATTGAAATATGATATTGGAATGGCTTTTGTGACACCATCACCGCACATTCCAGTGAAACCAGTGGTATCCAATGAAATATAGTGATGACGTCTCAAGTTATTCTGATATCATATTTCACTTCATCATTGAATCCAGTGGTATCCATTGAAATGCAGTGGAGTGCGCAGTGATGACGTCACAACAGCCATTCTGATAATATAATACCTAGGGATGAGTACCGAAACCCGGTATTTAATCGGTCCCGGGGCTAAATTATGAAAGACCGGCATATCGATAAGCTCTGACGTTAACGGTTCTGCTATCGGTACTGGAGAAATTAATAAAATACACATACATTTATTATTGCACATTATCTACATTATCTTGCAAATTCTATCTCACCAGAGTTGCCAGCTATTTTTCAAACATTTGTCTATGATGCATTTTTGCTATTCGCAATTCAGAAGCGAGATCGCGCCCGCGCCGAGGAGCTTCAGCACGCGCAACATGAAAGCCCTGTTTAATTATGATAGAAGAGAGAACTAAACATTCAAACATCTGCTTACACTTTAGGCATGTGGCTGTTTTATTAAGCTAATTTTATTTTTTGATTTTGATTTTGGCTTCTAAGGATTATACAAAAGAAGACATGAGGTAAAGCTATTAAAAACTAGCTGCGTTTCGTCTTGCGCAACTTCTTTCCCTTCACGGCGGTGCGCATTCGTTCCGCCCTAAAACCCAAACTTAACGTCAGAATCAGCTAAATCGGTGATTGTTGTAAGATGCCGTCTTTACTGTTGCTAAATTGCGGGACATGTTTGATAATAAAACGTTGAAAGCACAATCCGCACAAGAGACGCTGTTCCTCAGGCTGAAATGTGTGTGCGCATGTCCAATCGATCAAATACACACAAAAAAATGTCAAAATGGCCGGCTTGGAGAGTATACTTAAACACAGTTTATGTCTTAAGCGGAGGAGAACGGTTGGAAGAAAATCCGATGTATCAATATATTGTCTTAAGACTGGAGCTTGGGCCATCAAAATGCAAATCTGCTCTTAATCTGAATAACGTTATAGCTTTAATAAACATTAATCTATCAATACATACAATGAAAACTATGCAGTGTTCATTTACATTTGATTACTTTTAGATTACTTTTGTAGGCTACTACTTACCTGAACAGTAATGTTAGTAGAACTTCATGGAAAAATGACAGCACTGTTTATTTCATTTCATTTGTATATTTGTTTTATTGTATTTGTCAGTTTGTTTTACTTTGTTTCTTTGTTCATGATCTTACTGTATCTTATGTATAAAACACAAAAAAAATGCCTGCACACTGGTGCATTTACAAATTGATTTTTTATATTCATTTCATTAAATATTTATTTTACATTTCAGAATATAAAGCATTGTTGATTCAGCTCTTAATTTGTCATATATATATATATATAAAACAAAAAGTCCCGATAAGAATACTGTTAAAGTACCGAATCGATAAGCAGTATCGGTAAGAGTAGTAATACCGTTAAAACCTTAACGATACCCATCCCTAATAATACCTATGATATCCAGTGAAATATGATATGAGAATGGCTTTTGTGAAACCACCATTGCACGCTCCAGTGAAATCCAGTGGAATAGAATGATGGTGTCACAAGAGCTAATCTGATATCATACTTCACTTCATCACTGCATTTCACTGGATACCACTGGATTCACTGGTGTGTGCAGTGATGGCGCCATAGCAACTATCCTGGCATCATATTTCACTGGAAGTGAATTGCAATGAAATCCAGTGATGACGTTACAATAACAATTATGATAATATAATTTCTAGTGAAAATGTTTATTATGACAATAATTGGATGGATATTATGACATCATAAATGCACAAAAATACATATAGTGGAACTAGTTTAAAACTAATGAATGGCTCTTGTGAGCCGGATCTTTCTGTCAAAAGACCCATATACTCATTATTTATAAGTCTAAAGAATGTTTACACTAAAATAACAGCTTTTGCATTTTTCGAAAAGCATTATAAAAAATTATTTATTCATTAAAAGTTTGCTTTTCAGATGAGGACATTTATATGTTACCAAAGGAGGGTCAATTTGAACTAAAGGAACACATTTATCCCTAAACTACAGCTAAGCATATACACAATAATTATGAATCAGTGCAAGGCAAGTCCAGACACACTATCATCTGTATAATGACTACAAGATCCAGTCCAAGTGATTGCTCGGAAATACAGTATAATACAGTAATCGCACTAGAGCACCACTCTCGATAATGAGCATGTCTAAGTGTGTGTTAAAAAGAGCAAGCAAACTCTACCTTATTTATCAATATAAACATACAATACCCCTTTCTCCATTCATCTACTTTTCTTTATCTTAACATGATTACTTGTTGCTCCATCTTATCTTGATAATCACTTTGTACACAAGCTAATTCACAGCAGGTTGAGCTTATATAAAAAAGGTGACTCTAACAAAAAGACAGGGCATCAGGAAAGCGTACCAATCTACAGCAAATTAAACTGATAGAGAAAGAGAGCATGCAAGACAAAAAAAATGAGAAAGACAGCATGCAGAAAAAGAGATCAGAGGGCCTGGAAAGAGATTTGAGTGGATTTGCTTGAGTGAGTTAGCAGACTGTTACCAGGCCACCTGTTCTACTTCACAGGGATCGAGCAGCATGTCTAAAACACATGGGAACACATTAACAGCCACTGGACAGCAACACAGCTCCTCTATACAAGAAAAACACATCTTTATCACCTTCAGTTGACAGTTCTACCTCTACTGGCAGTGCAAGGTAGAGATCCCTCTAACACACACGCACACACACACACTACAGAGCAGTGACTTAACATGTCAAACTGTATGTATCTGAAGGGGTCATTTGTGAGGCTAAGACCTGGTTTATACAGGTTAAACTCAGTGATGTAACATTTCCCATCCCAGTGGCATGAATCCTTTTGATCCAGCACCTTATCATATAGAACCTTCAATGTCAAACTCCATTCACTTCTGATTTAACATTCAAACTGAAATGTCAGACTCTTTAAGTAAAGTTTTACATAAGGTCATAACAACTACTCGATAAAATAAATTTAATAACAGAATAGAACTAACGTTAAAGTTGTTTCAACCATTTTAATCTAAACTAGAATAGTTTAAGAAATAATTCAGGTACACAAAGGTTCTCCATTTGTCCCTCACGCAAAACAATAACACTTAAAGAAAACACGCCCTATATTCCACTCAAACTTTGTAAAATTATGCTTTTTATACATCATCAGAAACACATGATGTCACTGTCGCCCTATGTCATCCATGACATAGAACAACCTTGACACGGCACACACTCACACAGAGGTATTGACGTGCTCAAACGCAGCACGTGATGAAAAACAACAGCACAAATCCTCCTGATCATGTCACGAGCCTCTTTGGTCTGCAGTCATTACATAACGCAACCTCTCCAGCCAAACACTAATGAACAGGACACACACACACATTTAACATCATCACTTTACAAGTAACATCCTGAGTGCTTCTACGAGTGTGAATATTGGATAACCAAAGTCAATAATCTCAGAAATAACAGAAGGATATAAACATCCCAGAGTGAACTGAACCATTTAAGTCTCCTGATAACGTTGGGGTTTATATCTCGTCACTAGCACTAAAGAATATAAAACTGACGAAACGCATAGATTCAGCAGATCATAAACAACGCGGCACACAAATGCAGCGGCATCTCATGTGGAGGTAGAATACTGTGTGCGTGTGTTTGTGTGTGCAGAGTTCGTACTCACTGCTGCCCCAGGATTTCAGCAGAGACTTGATGCTGATCTCAAAAAAGCCTGAGTCCTGCTGGCCGGCCATGGCTGGATAGCAGGCTTAGTCTCTGTAGCAACACAGAGATGACAATCCAGGCAGAGAGAGTTGGTGGAGTGATGTAGAGAGAGAGAGGCTGCTTTACAGCACCATACGCTGCAGCAGTTTTTCGCTATGTGTCCTGTGTCAGCTCTGAGCACCAACTGCTCTCTCTTCTCTACATCTCTCTTTCCTGCCCCCTCCCTGCCTCACACTCTCTCTCATCAGCCGCTTTCTCTCTCGCTCACTCTGCATCAAGAGGATTGGCTCTCAGAGAGACTGAAAGAGAGAGCGAGCGAGTGAACTGCTGTTGGTATTGTCCAGTCTCCCTGAGAAGGACATCAAGAAAAAGGGAGGGGGAGGGGTTTGTTTGTTTGTTTGTTTACTGCAGTACTGCCCTGACCAGGGCTGTGTTTCCCAAAAGCATCGTAAACCTAAGTACATCGTAGACCCATTGCCACCAGTGGATCTACGATCAACTTACAGTAGGCTTACGATGCTTTTGAGAAACGCAGCCCAGATTGCTACAGAAAAACTGTACCTCAATGTTCTCATTTCGTGGATTACATTTGTCTCTAATGTGCCCCCCATCTACATAAATGTGTCTATTTTCGCACAAATCATTCGTGATCCAGCTTCACCTACAGAAGAAGTGAGTATAAGGTTTTTTACTGAATCTTTGCAAATCGCCTTTCCTAATAATGTGCTAATTAGCAAGTTTCACATGAATGCGGCTAAAGTAAACAGTCCCTCAGAGAGCAGCTTGGAAAAGAGGGGCGGGGTCAGCAGAGCTCATTAACATTTAAAGGAAAATGCTACAAAAGAGCTTGCTCTGTGTTTTTTACACTACCATTGAGAAATTTTAACCAACATATGCTACAGACTTTTCATAAAGACCCTAAAGAATCAGATCAACTTGTGGAAAATGGGCATCCGAAGATAGTTTGATTGACAGTAGCGTTTCGGCACAGACTGGACTAGTGTCTTACCTTAGACCCGGCCTGAGTGAGCTGTCATCAATCCGCTATTGTTTCACCGCCGGAGCAGATGTAGACAAGAATGACTCATAAAGAAAAAGAAAAAGGGAGGAGACTAGAGCTGATTCATGCAAACCTGTAAGGCTGGTCTGATCATTTTGTCCAATTCTGTGTAGTAACAACAAATGTATGGCCAGTATACAACATGCCTTAAATCTTTTTTTGGTGTGTGTGTGTGGAACCAGAGCATTCCATTAAATTTATAAATTAAAATATTAATTTATTTAAATACTGTTTGTTCTTTTCACAAAGTAAATGTTTTTTAAATGTTTTAAAAGAAGTCTCTTATGCTCACCAAGGCTGTATTTATTTGATCAAAAATCAAATTTAAACAGTAATATTGTTAAATATTATTACAATTTAAAATATCTGTTTTCCATTTTATTATTTCAAATTTAATTTTTTCCTGTGATGGCATAATATCTTATTTACAAAACATACTTTTATAATGGAACAAACGAAGCATTTTTTTTGCATTAATGGTCGATATACATCAGCAAAAGAATGTGATGCTAATCTCTCAGATGTTCACAGCAGACAGAATGTAAGACTTGTGGAAGGATGAAAGTAAATAGTTTCCATGTGAAAGCAGTTGGATTTAATTTTTGTTAACAGCGGTTGGCAAGTTACCAAACATGTTCTCCTCAATGCACTTTATCTTTCCTGAAATTCTTGTTCTTTTTCTTTTTTGTTCACTTTTGCCTTGCCTATATTAAGACATCCACAGAAAGAGGCAGAAAGGAAATGCTTATAACCCTAACTGTAAACATGAGCATCCGTAATATTAATGCTTCCCTTTGTAAACATTCAGTATGTTTACGCCAAATGAACAGTTTTGGAAAGAGTGTATAACTGTATGACAACTTGATTGACAGAGCATGTAATTAGTGCAATATATCATAGCTCTCAGCCAAACGACTGGAGAAAGATCATTCTCATTAAGTCACAGCTGAAATAATGTGAAACCGAGAGGAACTGATCTTTATTCTGCAAGATGCGTGACCAAATAATGTAATAAAACATATGAGGGAGATTAAATATGCATATTGTGTAAATCACTTTAACTTGCTTATTATTTCAATATTTTATTACCTTGCTCACTGCATATGACAGATGCAGCTTGATTCATTTGCAGAGAGAGAGACATAAAAATGTCCAGTTTCTGGCAAAGCTCTGGTAAACACTGCCAGCATTTAGATGCAATAAAGTGGTGATATAAATCAGTAAAAAATGAATTATGTGTTTGCGCTGAAAAAGTGCTGTTTGCGGTGGCTTGAATTGACTGTTTAACTGCTACTGTGGAGTTCTCCCAGCTGCCCCGGGCACATCTCCACAGCAGCTGGGGTCACATCCACCACTTCCACCACACACAAACGCTCTCACGGTTTCGTCTGGTGAGCTGCTTTAAAGAAATCACTTAAAAGTAAAGCTTACTGTCCAACTGACAAAATAAACGATCACAAAATTCAAAATGATTTTACAGCCATTTCAACCAGTCTGGTTTCTTTCTTCTGATATTCTGAAGAATGTTTTAAACTGTTTTTGCCCATACAATGAAAGTCAATGGCATTCACAACAACAGTTTTCCTGTTTTCTGCTTTAATGGTTTAATATAACAAAAAATGATATCTAATCAACTGAATTCTTAATAATACATGGGTCAAAGATGAAAAAGGGTTTAAGCATAAAAACAATAAATGTAATACTGCTTTAAATTGTTGTTGTCCCCACCCCCCCAAAAAAATTCTGTTTAATTTAATTGCAATTTTTTTTTTGTTTTTCTGAGCAAAAAATTAATATCATACATTTTTCCCTGATTTACAGAAGAGACCCACTAAAATGTCATTCAGTGTAACAATCTTGTCAGGCATATTTACAACAAAAATCAATTTATGACATATTAAAAGACTAATTACTTTCACCCCAAATACTAATTAGTTGTAATTTTAAATTTTTTTAATTTGCCACTATCCTAGGTTTTGCCCATTTGCCAGTAAGAATTTTTTACTCATTTAAAACACAATAAAATTGAATATGCTCCCTTATTCTTTTATATATTTTAATATGTACACGTCAGAATAAGCATGTTGTTTGAATTTTTACATAAATATTGTGTTACACTGAATGACAATGTATCATTATTTCAACCAAATTTTGACATTTTATCCTCCAAAAACTTATTTGAAACCTTAAAAGTAGACACTTTACTTACATTTGATGTGCTTTCTATGGACATAAAATCACTTTTGTACATTTCTTTTAATGCGGACATCTTAACGTTTTTGACTCGCATATAGTTTATTAAAATGTTAACAATAAAAGTTCCCTGTGAAATACATTTTTTTTCAGAAATGTTATGCTGTCTGTTTAAAATTTTCTGGATTCTTCTGTTTTATGATTTAATACAAATGTATTACCAAAAACGGTGGTAATCAAATGAATGCATATAACTTAATGTAAACATTTTGAATAATTTAATTAATCTTTTAAAATGGAAATCTGAATTATTCCTTCATTTCTTGTGCTGCACAACATAGGTTTGCTGTTTCAAATAAAACAAGAATGAAAAATTGTGATTTTCCCTTAAAAAATATTGTTTTAAAAAGCTGTTTTATTATTGTTATTATTAATTTGAGAAGTACATTGTACTTTACAATAGTAATTGGAAGTCAAGTTAAACTGAACTTGATATTTAAATAGCCTTTTATTTTTTTTATTCATTATTATTGAAAAAAAAATTTTTTTTTTTTTTTTTGCAGTTTAATATTTACAGACACTGGTCCATATCTCAATTTGAGTAAGTGTACAGCCCTTCTTTTGATTTATTCATCCACATGTGACATTCTGCATTATACTGTAAATTTCATTTTTATGACTGGATTCCGTGATTCTGTTTGCGTTTTCTGCATTGAAGAAATAACTGAACCACAATGACTTTCATTGTACGAACAAAATATTCTGTTGAATGGATATTTAAACATGGTAAACATTGTAAAACATATCTGGCAATAAGATGTGATGTTTGATTGCCAAGCCAAACAAAGAGTTGCTATAAAAGCCACTCAGGACAATAATGTATGACCATGCCTGCTGGTACAAGATAACAGTTTGTGCTATTAATGAAGAGCAATTAAATGCTGAGTCAGGTGTTTGTTTTGCTGCATAACTCATACTAGGCATCAATTGATGACATTCCTAGTTTATGATATTATTCTCTGCTACGAGAGCTTCACAGCAGTCATGCTTGGATAATCTTAACAAGAAACCCCCAGAATTCCAAGCATTCAGAGCGTCAGGCGGCCTCTGCCAGCTGTTAGATCGCTGACTATCCAGCAACTGGGATCCTGTTACCATGATACTAGTTCCGTGTCAGTGCTGGTGAGCAAACTGCCTTCCAAAACCCATGATCTAATTGGGCTCTTTCCAATAAGAGTCAATGATGGGTCAAGATGCTAAAATTAAATAAGGAAAACTGAGAGACACGTGAACATTCTTCATAACAAATCTTTGGCTTTGGAACAACGTGAGGGTGAGTAAATTAAATCTACATACTAATTCAGGCTACTGTAGAAATTTCTTAAAGGGGTCCTAGTATGCTCTTTTACAAAGTCTTGATTTTGTTTTGGGGGTGTACTAGAACAGGCTCTCATACTAGGTTGTTCGAAAAACACATTATTTTTCACATATTTTACATTATTACAACACCTCGCTCCCCAGTCCTGCATGAATGGCTCGAATAGTTCCTGTATCAAATGAAGGCCCGCCTTCTGAAATACGAAATGTGCTGTGATTGGTTAGCTGGGCCAGTGTGTGTTGGGATTGGCACCACTCGGCGCCTGGTCGGGAAATGTCATGCCCCTTACCATAGCCTGCACCGCCTGCAAGCTTCAGTGTAAATGCGTCAAAATCAAATCAATTTGAGCGCGATTTAAACCCGGATGATTTAAACCACTCTAAGTTCGTCTGCCTTGGGAAAACTAGCGTGTCTCCGACATAGTGATAACACTCATTGCCTTCTCTAGTGCAGCTCAACCAGGTCTCGTAACATTCGTCGGTATTTGTGATATCACAAATCCCGGGAAAATATGCGTTTTAGTCCAAACAAGTC